TGTCCCTGAGCCTCTTTGTGCTCAAGGCTGGCGCTCTACCTCTCTGAGCTATATATAATGCACCACTTCCGGTTTTCTGGTGGTGCTTTGGAGATGAGAGTCTCACGGAATTTCATGCCCAAGGCTGGCCTTGAACTGTGATCCTCCAGAGCTCAGTTTCCTGAGTAGCTGGGATGACAGGCGTGAGCCACCAGAGCCTAGTTTGGGGTTGGATTCCTTCGTTTTCATCTCTTCCTCTTCCTCCTCCTCTTCTTCCTCCTCCTCCTCTTCCTCCTCCTCTTCCTTCTCCTCCTTCTCCTCCTCTTCTTCCTTCTCTTCTTCCTCCTCCTTCTTGAGTACAGTGCATCATGTGTGTGTGTGTGTATGTGTGTGTTTGTGCCAGTCCTGGGATGTGAACTCATGGTCTCTCACTCTTCCTTAGCTTTTTCACTCAAGGCTGGTGCTCTACCACTTGAGTCACAGTACCACTTCTGGCTTTTTTTTATAGTTCACTGGACATAAGAGCCTCATGGACTTTTCTTCCTTGTCTTGGGGCCTAAATCCTCAGATCTCATCCCTCTGAGTAGCTAGGATTACAGGTGTGAGCTACCAGCACCCCGCAGTGCAATGTATCTTGATCAATGTCCACAACTGAGTTCTTTAAAAAAAAAAAAAGTAACTTAAGCCAGATGCCGGTGGCTCACACCTATAATCCTAGCTGAGATCTGAGGATCACAGTTCAAAGCCAGCCTGGGCAGGAAGGGTTGTGAGACTCTTATCTCCAATGAACCACCAGAAAACCGGAAGTGGTGCTATGGCTCAAGTGGTAGAGCACCAACTTTTAGCTGAAGAGCAGAAGGACAACGCCCAGGCCCAGAGTTCAAGTCCTACGACCAGCAAAAATAATAATAACTTTATTGTTATTGTTGAGGTGTTGCACAGAGAGGTTACCATTGCACAGTCCAGGTGCTGTGTGCATCCATTTCTCTTTTAGGCCATGTCCCTCTTCCCTCAGTTTCTCCTTCCCATCCCTGCCCACAGATTTCACAGTCACTTTCCCCTTGGTGTTTACTGAATCCCGTGATGGCGTCTGCTCACCCCGTCCCTTTCTGTGCCCCTCTAACTGGGCTCTTGGTGGTTCTATCTAACACGACACAGAAGAAACAGCTCACTCAGAGGAGGAGCGGGGAGAATCAGGTGTGTTTGGAAGAAGAGGGCTGAGCACTAGAGCTCCGGAGAACAGATTACAATTCTTTGACAAGAGACAGAGAAAGGCGGCTGGCGTGGCATGCCAGGAAGCTGCGGTGCTTAGTAGCTCCACGGGGAAGAACCTGTCAGCCATGCCTCAGACAGAGCAGGCAAGGAAGGGCACTGACAAGAAACATAACACTCACTTGCGTTACATCCCGCCAAGTCCCACAGGATTGAGCATGGCGTGCCTGTCCATCTGGTGATTGGGGCAGGGGAGGGCGAGGGGAGGCAGAGGTAAGAGGAGCATAGTTGGAGGCTGCTGCCAGGCCCCCAAACAAAAGCAAAGCAACAAGCACCCAAAAACCCCAGGAGGTTCCTAACTGAATAACCAGAGGCTAAAAAAAAAAAGAAGGTGTGACTCAAGTGGTAGAGCAAGGCCCTGAGTTTAGTTTTGCCAGGAAAAAAGAAAGGAGAGAGGGGGGGAAGGAAGGAAGAAAAGAAGGAAGGAAGGAGAAAAGGAAGGAGGGACCAAGAAGGAGAGGGAGAGAGAGGGAGGAAGGGGAAAGGAACAAAGGAAAGGAAATAAGGAAGAAAAGGAGGAAGGAGAAAAAAGAAGAGAAGAAAGGAGGGAGAGGGAGACAGAGAAGAGGAGGGGGAGAAAGGGAAAAGAGGACATTTAGAAGAAAAGAGAAAGAAAGTAAGGAAGGAAGGAAGGAAGGAAGGAAGAAAGCAAGCAGAGGAAGAGATGGGAGGGGAAGGAAGAAGGGGGAGGAGAGAAGGAAAAGAGAGGAAACTCAGGAAAGGAAAGAAGGGAAGGGTGAGAGAAAGGGAGGGAAGAAATGGAGGATGCAAGGAGGGAGAAGAGAAGGGAAAGGAAGGAGGGAAGGAGGGAGGCAAGAAAGGAGAGAGGGAAGGAAGAAGGGAGGGAAGGAAGGAAAGAAGGAGGAAGGGAGGGAGGGAGGGTAGGAGGGAAAGGAGGGAAGGACAGAAGGAAGAAGGAAGGGAAAGTAGGGAAGGAATGAAAGAAGGAAGGATGGAAGGAAGGATAGAAGGAAGGATGGAGAGAAGGAAGGAAAGAAGGAGGAAGGGAGGGAGGGAAAGTAGGAGGGAAAGGAGGGAAGGACAGAAGGAAGAAGGAAGAAGGAAGGGAAAGTAGGGAAGGAATGAAAGAAGGAAGGATGGAAGGAAGGAAGGACAGAAGGAAGGATGGAGAGAAGGAAGGAGGGAAGGAAGAAAGGAGGGAAGGAAAGAAGGAAGGATTGAGGGAAGGAAAGAAAGAAGGAAAGAAGGAAGGGAGGAAGGAAGGAAGGAAGGGAAGGAGGAAGGAAGGAAGGAAGGAAGGAAAGGAAGGGAAGGCAGATATCACAATATATGGCAGTTCACTTAAGTTAAAAATACCTGGTCAGGAGGCTCTGATTTAAATTGATGAGAATTTACAGTTCTGACAAGCGTCCCCCCCCCCACCTCCAAGAATTCTGGAAGTCTGTGAGTAACATGTTGTCTTATATTCTGATGCAGATATATTCGAATTCCTATGGAGTGGGAGGGGATTCTGAACAGGTCGTGGGGCTTGAACTCTGGGCCTGGGCGCTGTCCCTCAGCGCTTCAGCTCAGGGCTGGTGCTCTACCACTTGAGCCACGGCACTACTTCCAGTTTCCTGAGTATGGTTGATTGGGGATAAGAGTCTCACGGACTTTCCTGCCCGGGCTGGCTTTGAACCGTGATCCTCAGATCTCAGCCTCCTGAGTAGTTAGGATGACCAGCGTGGGCCGCCAGCTCTCCCTCTCTCCTCTTAGCTTCCACAGGGACACAGCTCTTATTGTGTCAGCCCCACCCAGTCATTCCCAGCTACAGAAGAGATTAATCACAGAGAACCCAACCCACTCGTCTATCGGTTATTTCAGCACCATGGACAGCACAGGGCCCAACAGATCACCTCCACTTTCTGGCAGGATCACAGCACTGAGCTGCATTTGCACAGCTCTTAATTCTGCCTCATTTTGAAGAGTCACACAACAAGGACGTCCCTAGCTTCATTCCCTGAGCTTGGAGTCAAGTCCCAAGCATTCAACTGTGTGTGTGTGTGTGTGTGTGTGTGTGTGTGTGTGTGTCCGTCTGAAGCTCGAACTCAGGGCCTGGGCGCTGTCCCTGAGCTCTTTTTGCTCAAGGCTGGTACTCTACCAGTTTAAGCCAACTGTTCCCCCTTCCTTCCGGTTTTCTGGTGGTTTATTGGAGATCAGAGTCTCATAGGCTTTTCTGCCCAGGCTGGTTTTGAACCAAGAGCCTCAGATCTCAGCCTCCTGAGTTGCTAGGGTTTACAGGGAACTCACAGGAGTTTTTGTGGGGCTCTGTCTGCAAGGACTGGGCAAGATTGTGGCTAAGATGGTCTCTCTTACATGGCCAGGAAGAGCTTATTATTATACAAGGCCTAATGGCCTGGCTCCTTCAATTGTCAGCTTTCTGAACCGTGTTCTCATAGTGCCAGAAACTCTGAACTTTAATGAAATGTCCAAAGACATACACACACACACACACACACACACACACACACACACACAAATTCAGGGCAATGGTGTGTTTACCTGGACATACACCAATATCACTGAATATATACATATGCATACATGTATGCATAATATACAAACATATATGTTTATATACACATAGCCATGTATATGCATATATATGATTATATACACATATATGCACACACGTATACGTAAAAGCTTGGTCTAGTGGCTCACACCTATCATCCTTGCTATTCAAGAGGCTGAAATCAGGACTGTGATTTAAAGCCAGCCTGGGAAGAAAACTCCAGAAGATTCTTATCTCCAATGAACCAACAAAACCTGCAAGTGGCACCGTGGGCTTAAAGTGGTAGAGCACAAACTAGCCTTTAGCAAAAGCGCTCAGGGTCAGTGCCAGGCCCTAAGTTCAAGCCCCAGGACTGGCACACACACAGACAGACAGACAGACAGACACACAAATAGTTGTAATGGATAATCTGGCTAAGAGGGAGATTGTTCATCCCTATACAAGGAGACAATCATCTGGAGATCTAAACTGCAGTTCCAGGAATGAAGAACACATTGTAAATGTTAATGAATGAAAAGATTGTGGGCAGAAAGTTACTCAGAAGAAGTAGATTCTGAATTCAAGTCTTCCTGGAATGTAGGAGCAAGCCTGGAGCTCGGTGGTCATCTTTGACATGAGGAAACACTGGTACAGGCAGAGTGTGTGTGTGTGTGTACGTGTGCATGTGCATGTAAGTGTGTATATGTGTGCATGTGTGTATGCATAAGTATAAGTGTATTTAAGTGTGTGTATTGTGAGTGTATGTGTATGTGTGTATGTGACTATGTGTGTGTACGCGTGAGTAAATGTGTGTATGTGTAAGCATGTTGTGTGTGTGTTTGGAGAAGATCACAATGTAAAGCAGCAGAAAGAAGCAGTAATCAGTGGAGGCATGGCTGATTGGGTGGAGGTGTAGCCCAGCAGATAGCCAATAAGCGAAAGCAGCAGGGGCTGAGTTCGAGTCCTGGTCCCAGCCCTAAACAAACACACCAACCCAAAAGCAATGGGAATAGCTCTTGGGAAGCAAACACATTCGAGGTGCCAGGACCTGGGTGGACAAACAGCTTCTCCCCGAAAGCCCTGGGGATGCGTGTTTGGAAGAAGCTCTTGTGAGCTCAGAATTGGGGGGCTAGTCTAGCAATGAGGGGGGGAGGGAAAGATGGGGGGGTGGGGATAATGGCCACGCTGTCAACTTCTCTGGGGGTCTTGTGTCTTCTCTTAAGGATCTGAACTCCTCCTGAAGAAGGATGAGAAGATGGAGCTCACGCTGGTGTCCCTGGGGGTGACCCCCCACTTCCGCCGGTTCACTGCCGAGTCCCTGGTGGAGATTGAGAAACGCATCTCAGCCCATCAGGCTGCCAAGAAAAGCAGGGAGAAAAGGAGGAGCAGAGAGGAGGAGGGTGAGAAGCTCCGGCCTCAGCTAGACTTGAAAGCCTGCAACCAGCTGCCCAAGTTTTATGGTGAACTCCCTGCGGAACTGGTTGGGGAGACCCTGGAGGATTTAGATCCTTTCTACAGCACTCATCGGGTAAGAGCTACTTGGGGGAGGGAGGGAGTCATGCTCTCTCAGTGAGAGGCCCAGAGATCCAGGGGATCCCCTAAGTCTTGACAAATGGGACGAGGCTGCTAAAGATTCAGAAACCAAGCCATCCATGTAACGCAGCGCTCACATGCTTTGAATCTCTCTCCACGAGATTTTTGGCTTTTTGTGGGTGCCAGGGCTCGAACTCGAGGCCTGGGCACTGTCCCTGAGCTTCTTTGTGTTCAAGGCTGGCGTTCTACCACTTTGAGCCCAATATGGCGCCACTTCCGGTTTCCTGGTGGTTTATTGCTGGTAAGAAGCCCAGGCTGGCTTTGAACTGCCATCCTCTTGTCTCAGCCTGCTGAGTGGTTGGGATGGCAGGCGTGAGCTACCAGCCCCAGCCTTGCTGTCATGAGTCTCTTGCTTTGAAATGTGGTTGGGCCAGGTTTCTGATTCTCACGTGTGTGTGTGTGTGTGTGTGTGTGTGTGTGTCCTTTTTTGCTCTGTTGTGTTTTAGACTTTCATTGTGCTGAACAAAGGGAGGACCATCTCCCGGTTTAGTGCCACCCGGGCCCTGTGGCTCTTCAGTCCTTTCAACCCCATCCGAAGAACAGCCATCAAGGTGTCCGTTCATTCGTATCCTTTGTGTCTCGGTGGGTTCAAAGCAGGCGCCCAGGGGCAGGGCGCCCCGTGGCTCACACCTGTCACCCCAGCCACTCAGGAAGCTGAGATCTGAGGATCCCACTTCCAAGCCAGCACCAGCCGAAAAGTCTCTGAGACTCTTCTCTCCAAGGGCTCACCAAAAAGCCTGAGTGGAAGTGTGACACAAGTGGTAGAGCATCAGCGTTGAGAGTAAAACCTCAAGGACAGCACCCAGGCCCTAAGTTCAAGCCCTTGTATTAGCATAGAATAAGAATACTACTATTGCCGGGCGCTGGTGGCTCACGCCTGTCATCCTAGCTACTCAGGAGGCTGAGGTCTGAGGATCACAGTTCAAAGCCAGCCCGGGCAGGAAAGTCCGTGAAACTCTTATCTCCAATAAACCACCAGAAAACCAAAAGTGGCGCTGTGGCTCAAGTGGTAGAGCGCTCGCCTTGAGCTGAAGAGCTAAGGGATAGTGCTCAAGCCCAGAGTTCAAGTCCCACGATGGACAAAAAAAAAAAGAAGAATACTAGTATTATTGTATCTAATTATCTAGAATGATACTAATATTATCATTGTTTATAATAATTATATCATTATTTGCAATAACATCATCACCTATGTAATAATTTATATATAATTTATAACGATGATCATATATAATTATACAGTTATATATTTATTATATATAATTACATATTAATAATATAATTATAGTATATGATTATAATGTGTAATATGATATATAATTATATATTTCTTTGCTTATATTTATGTAATTTATATATAAATTATTATATATCTAAAGGTATATATCAATAAATATACTATGTATAAATATATTTATATATATAAATTTATTTTCTATAAAATTCATTTATACATAAATAAATACATTTACTTGTATAATTCATATATACATTATTGTATAATAGTGATACTGTTATATAATTTAGATGATATTTTATATGATATCAAATTTTATATAATGTCATTGTAAGTTATATGATATTATTTATAATTTGGTGATATATAATAGTATGTGATATATAATAATATAAATAATGATAATAGTATCATAAATAATGATAATTGTATGATATCAAATGCACACCCACAGGAAAGAAAGGAAAGGTAAAAGAAACCCCTTTGTGCAACTACTTAAAGCTAATTTTCTTTTTTTGTATTTTGGTACTGGGGCTTGAACTCAGGGCCTGGGCGCTGTCCCTGAGCTTCTTTTACTCAAGGCTGGTGGCTCTACCACTTGAGCCACAGCGCCACTTCCAGTTTTCTGGTGGTCCACTGGAGAGGAGAGTCTCATGGACTTTCCCTTCCTGGGCTGGCTTTGAACCATGATCCTCAGATCTCAGCTTCCTGAGTAGCTGGGATGACAGGCGGGAGCCACCAACACCGGCTCCTAAGTACCATTAAACACAACAAGATGCAGTCTGACTTTATAAAGTCTGTAGAATGACAGGTGTGATCTCTTGAAAAATGTTAACACTTGTGTTCGAGTCCTCCGTAGATGTGAGCCAATTTCTTCATTGAAGTATAATTTAGTGATCATTACAGAGGAGAACAAGGAAATAATGCGTTTGAATTAGATGCATTTTGCCTGCTCAAATCGGGTCTGTTCCTAGGTAACCAGAAAACACGGCGCATTAGCAAAGCATTTACAGAAAGCCCGAAGATAGATTTAACATTCCTGCTCACCCCGAGGCCAGAGAGCAAAGGCTGACTCTGGGGAGGCCAGGGTTCCCTGCTGGAATTTGTCTTCTTTTATTATTATTATTTTTTGGTTCATTTTCCTTCAGAAAGATCCAGAAGGGAGCAGGAAGAAGAAAAAAAATGACCCCTGTAGGCAAAAACTCGCTTTTGCATTCTTTCCCACAGCTTTAGCCTTTGTGGGGTGGTCCCCCTCTCTCCCTGCCCCAGCTACTCAGGAGGCTTGAGATCTGGAGGATCACTGTTCAAAGCCAGCCCGGGCAGGAACGTCCATGATGACTCTCCTCTCCCCTGAACCACCAGAAAACTGGAAGTGGTTCAAAGTGGCAGTGCGCTGGCCTTGAGCAAAAGAAGCTCAGGAATAGCACCCAGGCCTCTTCTTCATACTGGGCCCACTTGGTATATACTGGGCCTGACATTCTACCCACTGGGCCTCACCCCTCAACAGGCTCCAATCCGGATGAGAGAGAATTCTATCTACCTGATTTCAGAGACAAAATGGGGTGAGGCGCTGGTAGCACATGCCTGTAATCCCAGCTTACCTGGGGAAGGCTGAAATAGGAGGATCACGGTTTCAAAGCCAGCCTGGGACAGGAAAGTCTGTGAGATTCTGGCCTCTAAGGCACCAGCCAAAAAGCTGGACGTGGAAGTAAGCGGCTATAAGTGGAAGAGTACCAGCTTTGAGGGGGAAAAGCTCAGGGACAGTGGCCAGGTCCCAAGTTCAAGCCCCGGGACCGGCACACACACACACACACACACACACACACACACACACACGCACACACACACACAGAGGTGATCTTAAATGACATGATGTGCATGGGAAACCCAATCTTTCCTTAACACGGGCCTTGCAGTTGGTTCACTACCTTTATTACGGTCACGATTCTGATCAATTGTGGGTGTATGACCCAGAATGACCTTCCAGAAAAAATCGAGTGAGTTGCTCTATCGTACCATTTCCTGGGCTTTCCCCATTTCTCTTTGCCCTCTTGTTTTTCTCGGCCCTTTAAAAAATTTGTCTTTATCTTCCCTGTTTCTTTGTAGAATGCTGAATTCAATCATCAATTTGATTTTAGAAGGATTTAGGTTTCTTTTTCTGGTTTTGTTTGTTTCGTTGGTGTTTTCTCTGGGTGGGTGCACAGAAATGTGATTGAATTCAGGAGGGTCTCAAAACTTGCACTTGGATTTTTCTCCCTCATGACGGGTGCTCTACCGCTTGAGCCACGCCTCCACTTCAGCCTTTTGGCACATTCCTTGGAGTCTCTTGGGATTCTCTGCTCCAGCTGGCTTTTAACCAGGATCCTCAGATCGCAGCCTCTTGAGTAGCTAGGAGCCAAGATGTTGGGCCACTGGTTACCCAATTTTTCTGTGGGTTTTATTTTCTTCAAAACACACAAAAAATATTTTTTAAAGTCATAACCATATGGATTGGCTGAGCGCCGGTGGCTCACGCCTGTCATCCTAGCTACTCAGGAGGCTGAGAGCTGAGGATCATGGTTCAAAGCCAGCCCGGGCAGGAAAGTCTGTGAGACTCTTATTTCCAGTGAACAACTAGAAAACCAGAAGTGGCGCTGTGGCTCAAATGGTAGAGCACTCGCCTTGAGCAAAAAGCAGCTCAGGGACAGCGCCCAGGCCCTGAGTTCAGGCCCCATGACCAAAGAAAACGCCTAGCAAAAAAACAAAAAAGCCCCCCCCACTCGCACAAAAATATGGGGGAGAACATTCCAGAAAGAGTAGGGAGACAAAAATGTTAGCAATGGCTGGCGAATAGATCTCTCCTGACCACCTTCTACCCTGCACGCACAGCAAACTATCACTGGGTGTCCTCAGGACGACGTATGGTAGCCATTTGGGTGGGGTCTGTGTGAAGGGCCGGGTGTGGTAGCGCACGCCTATAATCTCACTGCTCAAGTGGCCGAGGTAGGAAGATCACAAGCGCCATGCAGTGAGACTCCATCGCACATAAGCAAGTGCTTAACTGGAGGTGTGGCTCAAGTGGTAGAGCACCGGCCTTGAGCTGCGGAGCTGAGGGACAGCGCCCAGGCCCACCGAGCCGCTGGTTTGGAGCCATGGCTTTGCTGATGGCTTCTCCAAGTGAGAGAAAGCAGAACATTTCCACGCCAGGCAAATAAAGGCTCACTGGGCCTGACGGGAGAAGAGGAGGGAGGCAGGGAGGAAGTTTCTAGAACCCATGCCCTCTTCCCCCATCCATGGGTCTGGAACAAAGCAGACGCCAGCTTCCACCAGACAGGTGTACGGAACATGAAACAGGGGGATCACAGTCCTTCCCCCCCCCCCGCACTGCGGGCTGCCCCACCCGCCCTACTCACCCCTGTGTGCCTGCCACTCCTCCATCCACAACTGCCCTTCCCCACGCACCTCCTTCCTCCTCACCTGGACCTGGTGGCTCCCAGGGACCCAGCAGCCCAGCTCTCCTTCCTACAGGCAGAGAAAACACCCCAGCGATCCTCCTCCTCCTCCTCCTCCTCTTTCCCTTCCTCTTTCCTGCCTTCCTTCCTTCCTTTCTGTTTGCTTCCTTCCTTCCTTCCTTCCTTCCCTCCCTCCCCCCCAACCTCCTCCTTTCTTTCTTTCTTTTTTCTTCATTCATTCTTTCTTTCCTCCTCCTCCTCCTTCCTTTTTCTTCTTCTTCTTCCTCCTCCTCCTTCCTCCTCCTCCTCCTTCCTCTTCTTCTTCCTCCTCCTCCTCTTCCCCTCCCTCCTCTTCCTCCTTCCTCTTTCTTTCTTTCTTTCTTTCTTTCTTTCTTTCTTTCTTTCTTTCTTTCTTTCTTTCTTTGTTCTTTCCCCTCCTTCTCCTTTTTCCTCCTCCTCCTCCTTCTTTTTCTTTTTCTTCTTCTTCTTCCTCTTCTTTCTCCTCCTTCTTCTTCCTCCTCCTTCTTTTCTCCTCCTCCTCTTCCTTCTTTTCTCCTCCTCCTCTTCCTCCTCCTCTTCCCCTTCCTCCTTCCTTCCTTCTTTCTTTCTTTCTTTCCTCCTCATTCTCCTCCTTTTCCTCCTCTCCTCCTCCTCTTCCTTCCTCTTCCTTCTTTCTCTGTCTCTCTGTCTCTGTCTCTCTCTGTCTCTGTCTGTCTGACTCTGTCTCTGTCTGTCTGTCTCTGTCTCTGTATCTGTCTCTGTCTCTCTCTGTCTTTCTCTGTCTCTGTCTCTCTCTGTCTGTGTCTGTGTCTCTGTCTATCTGTCTCTGTCTCTCTGTCTGTGTCTGTGTCTCTGTCTGTGTGTCTGTCTCTGGCACAGGTCACTGCGCTCTCTCACAGGTACGTCTTCACCGTCATTTACACCTTTGAAGCTCTGATAAAGATCCTGGCGAGGGGCTTCTGCCTCAATGAGTTCACCTACCTGCGGGACCCCTGGAACTGGCTGGACTTCAGTGTCATCTCCCTGGCGTGAGTCCCCCCCCGGCGTGAGTGCCCCCCCCGTGTGATTCCCCCCCAGATGACCGGTGTCATCTGTGTGCCGCCTGTGGTTCATCGTTATTTTTAGGGGTCTCCAGGATCATTCTCCCGTGAGGTTTCCTCATCTGTTAATCCAGCTCCCTCTGCAGGGGCCAAGTCAGAGACCTCAACTCAGGCCGGGCACCCATGGCTCACGCCTGTCATCCCAGCTCCTCAGGAGGCTGAGATCTGAGGATCATGGTTCAAGGCCAGCCCGGGCAGGAGAGACCGTGAGACTCCTATCTCCAAGGCACCACCAGAAAAACCGGAAGTGGTGCCAGCCTTGAGCCCAGAGAGGCTCAGGGAGCGCACCCAGGCCCCCCACGTTCAAGCCTTTTGAGTGGCAAACAACAAGATTGCCTATTTGCACAGCCAGGCATCTGTGTAGAACCCAGAGCCTGGGATCACAGCCCGACTTCTCAGCGATCCTTTGTGAGAGAGATACCCCGGTGTGCACACCCGTGTGCAGAGGGCAGGGCTGGGCTGTCCGTGGTGGTCAGCCACGGGCGTGCTGACGGTCCTGTCCACCGCGATCACCCCCTTTGTGTCCTGCCTGCGATCCCGGGGTCCCCCTACCCGGCTCAGTCAATCTCACGGTCCCCCCCCCAGGTATGTGGGTGCAGCTACCAACCTCCAAGGAATCTCCGGCCTGCGAACTTTCCGTGTTCTGAGAGCGTTGAAGACCGTCTCTGTGATCCCAGGTGGGTTGTGGACTCCATTTTGTCCTATTACTATTACTGCTGCTGCTGTTGTTGTTGTTGGTGGTGGTGGTGCCAGTCTCGGCTCTCGGGTTCTCCTACCCTGGGGCTGGCTTTGAACCTCCGATCTTGGTGGGGGTGTGAGCTGGGCATGTGGTCCGTTCTCTGCAGGGCTGAAGGTCATAGTAGGAGCTTTGATCCACTCGGTGAGGAAGCTGGCAGACGTGACCATCCTCACCGTCTTCTGCCTCAGTGTCTTCGCCCTGGTGGGCCTGCAGCTCTTCAAGGGCAACCTCAAGAACAAGTGTGTCTGGAACACCACAACCTTCCCGGCGAACGCCAGCGACTCCACCGACAGGAAAGGTGAGTGCCGATCACCCGCTCTCCAGACCAGGACTGTAGCTCATGCCCAGCATCCCAGCCATGTCAGCAGGCTGAGATCCGGAGGATCGCGTGTCAAAGCCAGCCCCAGGGGGAAGGAAAGTCCCTGAGACTCTTTAGTCTCCAGTGAACCACACCCCCCCAAAACAAAGCCTGAAGTGGAGGCGTGGTTCAAGTGGTGGAGCACCCACCTTGTATGAAAAACCCAAGTGGGCCTGGGAGGTCCCCGGAGACTGGAGACATGGCTCCATTGCTGGAGAACTTGCCCGGGAGCAGTAATAGCAGGTACTGAGTTCAAATCTCAGTCTTGGACTGAAAAAAAAAAGAGAGAGCTGGGGGTCTTGAGTTCAAGTGTCAGCACAGACACCCACACAAAAACAAAATAAGGCCTGAGTTTGTTGGGCCCGAGAGCTGCTTTATGGATCGAGGCCCTGAATGTCTGTAGAGAGATACATTTGGATCTTTTTTGGTCTTTTTTGGTCCTCCCAGAATGCGTCTGCTGCATCAGGTCTAACGTGCTCCCCAGAATCTCTTTTATTTTAATCTTATTTTAGAGTAGTGAGTATTGTAGCCAGGTATGGGCGGCTCATGCCTGTCACCCCAGCTTCTCAGGAGGCTGAGATCCGGAGGATCGCGGTTCAAAAGTCCCCCTGGGACTCTCTGATCTCCAATGAACCATGCAAAAAGCCAGAGGTGGAAGTGTGGTCCAAGTGGTAGAGCGCCAGACTTGAGAGCTAAAAAGAAAAGAAAAGAAAATTAAAAAGCTAAAGAAAGAGCCCAGGCTTTGAGTTAGGCCCTGCTGGAAGCATCCAGAACCATGGGGGGTGGGGGGGTAGGGGGGGAACTGCTCATGTCTTCCTTTCTTTCTGCAGAGAAGTATGTGATCAAGGAAGGCACGTCGGAGCCCCTGCTGTGCGGGAATGGCTCTGACTCAGGGTGAGTTCCCAGCCCACCAGGGTCCCAAGGCCGGGTGTCCCTCTCTTGTGTCCAGTGTTCTCTGGTCAGATACACCGTTACCATCTTGAGGAAAGATACACTGACCAGGTACAGTGGCTCACGCCTGCTGTCCCAGCTGACTCAGGAGGCTGAGATCCAGAGGATCACAGTCCAAAATCAACTGGGGACCAGAAAAGCTGATGAGATTCTTCTCTCCAGTGAACCACCAAAAAAAGCTGGAAAAGGGGATGTGGCCCAAAGTGGGAGAGGGCCAGTCTTGAGTGAAAGAGAGCTCAGGGACATTGTCCAGGCCCCAGGATGGCAGAGAGAGAGAGAGAGAGAGAGAGAGAGAGAGAGAGAGAGAGAGAGAGTCATGACTTCTTGCCATGATCCAAGGCTTTGGGACTTAATACAATGATTCATTTAGCCAGTTAACCATTTATTCATTTACTTAACTATTTATTTAGAAATGGAGGGCTTGTGGCTTCAAGATGCCCCTCTTCTGCATGTAAGGTTGTCAGCCACACTTGGATGGGTTCTCGGACAGAATCAGCAAGAGCCCAGAACAGTGGAAGTGTGCGAAGCCCAGAACTCTTCCTGCTCTCTCCTTCCTTTCTCCCTCCTCCCTCTTCCCCTCTTCCCCAACCCCTCCTCTTCCTCCTGCCCTAGTCCCTCCTCTTCCGTCTCCCCTCCCTTCCTCTTCTCTACCCCTTCTTTCCCTTCCCATCCCTTCTCCTTCCCCTCCCCTCCTCCTCCTTTACTCTGTCTCTCTCTCCCTCCTTCTCCTCTTCCTTCTTCCTCTCCATACAACTCCTTAAATACTAATGATGGATGCAGGGATTTTGTTGTTTGTTCAACAGCGCTATCCAAACAGGTCTGCCTTATTTTAGGTCAGTAGATTGTTGTAATGTAGGTAAAATGGCATTGGAAAGAAAAAGTATATATTTTGAAGTTCCAAATAGGCATCAAAAATAAAAGTCAGTGCCAGTGGCTCACGCCTGACATCCTAGCTACTCAGGATACTGAGATCTGAGGATCATGGTTCAAAACCAGCCTGGGCAGCAGAAAACCAGAAGTGGCGCTGTGGCTCAAGTGGTAGAGCGCCAGCCTTGAGCACACAAGAGCTCAGGGACAGCGCCCAGGCCCTGAGTTCAAGTCCCAGGACCAACAGAAAAAAAGGAGGAGGAGAAGGAGGAAAAGAAGAAAGAGGAGGAGGAGGAGGAGGAGGAAGGTCACCTTGAACTCTAATCTCTGATGTCCAACTCTGTGGGTCTTCCACGGACTTGAACTGCTTTGTATCCAATAAACAGAGGCTGTCAAATCAATAATTGGTTTTTTTTTTTCTGCTCACCACAGCCACTGCCCTGAAGGCTCGATCTGCCTTAAAACTTACCAAAACCCAGATTACAACTACACCAGCTTCGATTCCTTCGCCTGGGCCTTCCTCTCCCTCTTCCGCCTCATGACACAGGACTCCTGGGAACGCCTCTACCAGCAGGTGTGGACTCTGTGTGTGTGTGTGTGTGTGTGTGTGTGTGTGTGTGCTGGTCCTGGGGCTTGAACTTATAGGGCCTGGTACTGTGCCACTTCCGGGTTTCTGGTGGTTCATTGGAGATGAGAGTCTCAGAGACTTTCCTACCCAGGCTGGCTTTGAACCGTGATCCTCTAGATCTCAGCCTCCTGAGTAGCTGGGATGACAGGCGTGAGCCACCAGGACCTGGCTCCCCAGGCAGACTCCACAGGAGGCTGGGGGGGGGATCTGTGGGTATGGCTCCCCTCTTCCTGGAGTCTGAGGGTGCGGGTGGGGGATCCTGACATAATGTACAGGGGACTCCTGTACTATGAATCCGGGCGCCTCTTTGCTTTCCCTTGTACCTGCAGACGCTCAGGGCATCTGGGAAGATGTACATGATCTTCTTCATGCTGGTCATCTTCCTGGGCTCCTTCTACCTGGTCAACCTCATCCTGGCCGTGGTCACCATGGCCTACGAAGAACAGAACCAGGCCACCATGCTGGAAATCGAGGCGAAGGCGAAGAAATTCCAGGAGGCCTCTGAGTTGCTGCAGAAGGAGCAGGAGGTGGGTAAGGGGGTTAAATAGTTGGGGGGCCACCTGGAGAGAATATCTAGTGTCATCTCTGGGACTTGAACTCAGGGCCTGGGCACAGTCCATGAGCTCTTTGTACTCAAGGCTGACGCTCTGCCACTTTGAGCCAGATAGATGGCGCCACTTCCGGTTTCCTGGTGGTTGATTGGAGGTGAGAGTCTCACAGACTTTCCTGCCCTGGCTGGCTTTGAACTGTGATCCTCTAGATCTCAGCCTCCTCAGTAGCTAGGATGACAGGCCTAAGCCATCAATGCTCAGCTAGGGAGATGCATCTTGATCCAGTCTTAGATCCATTTCTTTAAAAAAAAATTGTCCAGGCATCCATGGCTCACACCTGCCATGGTAGTGACTCAGGAGGCTGAGATCGGAGGATCACAGTTCAAAGTCAACCCTGGGCAGGAAGCCCTTGAGACTCTAATCTCCAGTGAACCACCAAAAGGCTGCAAGTGGAGCTATGGCTCCAAGTGGTAGCCTTGACCACCAAAGCTCTAGAACAGCACCCAGGTCCTGAGTTCAAGCCCCAGGACTGGCACCCAAAAAAACGAGGGGACCGGGTGGGGCCCCCAGCAGCTACCAGCGACTGAGTGACAAAGGGGCCCCTGAGCTGGTCACTTCATCCTGACCCCAGCACGGTACAGCCCTGATCCTTTCCTGTCCTCTGTCTCCGATCCTCCACCCCTGTGGCCTCTGTGTCTAGGACACACATGCGTGTTCAACCTGGCTCAATCTGCTCTGTCTCTGTCTCTGTCTGTCTCTGTCTCTGTCTGTCTCTGTCTCTGTCTGTCTCTGTCTCTCCTTCCCCAGGTGTTGGCATCGCTGGGCATTGACACAGCCTCGCTCCATTCCCACAATGAATCACCACCAGCCACCCAAAACACCAATGACCCCAGAAGGCATGGATTGAAAGCCAGGGTGTCCGAAGGCTCCGCCGACAACAACTCTCCCCAATCGGAGCCTTACAACCAGCGCAGGATGGTGAGAGTTCGAAGCTCCGCTCGGAGCCTTGGTTGTCGGGGGTGAAGGCGTGGTTCAAGTAGGAGAGCATCAGCCTTAAACAACAAAAAGCCAAGCAAGAGTGTAAAGCCTTGAGTGCAAGTCTCAGTACCAGCACACATGCATGCACACACACACACACACACACACTTGTTGGAATTGCAAAACATGGGAAAAGAGAATACAGGATGACCCTTATATGAGAGCATTGTGCTCCTAGTCAGGCAGCATTGGAGCAAGAGTCTAGGTTTGTAGGGAAAATGGATGTCCACCATGTTTGTGGACAGGGAGGGGCCGCGTCTCTAGGGGAAATCTGATTGGCTGCTCTAGAGTTGGTGGGCAGAATTTCCCTGTCCTTGGTGCTGAAATCACTCCTAGAATTTCCATTTTCTTTCTTTCTTCCTTCCTTCTTTTCTTTATTTTTCCTTCCTTCCTTCCTTCCTTTCTTCCTTCCTTCCTTTCTTTATTTCTTTCTTCTTTCCTTCTTCCTTTCTTTATTTCTTTCTTCTTTCCTTCTTCCTTTCTTTCTCTCTTTTCTTCTTTCCTTCCTTCCTTTCCTTCTTTCCTTCCTTCTTTCTTTTCCTTTTTGCTCAAGGCTAGTGCTCTACCATTTAAGCCACAGCTTTACTTCTGACATTTTGGTTGGTTCATTGAAGATAAGAGTCTCATGGACTTTGAACTGCAAGCCTCCAGATATCAGCCTCCTGAGTAGCTAGGATGACAGGCTTTGAGCACACTGGCACCTGGCCTATGAGACTCTTACCTCCAGTGAACCACCAAAAAGCTAGAAGTGGAGGCTCATGTGGTAGAGGGCTAGACTTGAGGGGAAAGCTAAGGCCCAGGGCTGGGAAGGTGGCTCAGTGGTAGAGCGCTTGCCTTGCATGCCTGAGGCTCTGGGTTTGATTCCTCAGCACCACATAAGCAAAAAAGAAAAAAGCCGGAAGTGGCGCTGTGGCTCAAGTGGTAGAGCGCTAGCCTTGAGCTGAAGAGCTGAGGGACAGCGCCCAGGCCCAGAGTTCAGGCCCCACGACTGGACCCCCCCCCAAAAAAGAAAAAAAAAGCTAAGGCCCAGCGATCAGGCCCTGAGTTCAAGTCCTAGCACCAGTACACAATAAATTATGGTGATAATGAGGATCGCAGGACGTGAAGAGGGCAGAGGTCACTATGCTCTTGATTGATCACATGACCAGCCTGCAGCCTGTCTCTCTCCCTGTTCATGACTGGGGCGATGCCCAGTCCTTCCTAGGCCTCACTGCGGGGAGACGCCGAGCCAGCCACAGCAGCGTGTTTCATTTCCGAGCACCTGGGCGAGAAATTTCCTTCTCTGATGGGGTCAGTGATGATGGAGTGTTTCATGGAGATCCCGAAAGCCAACGCGGCCCTGTGCTCATGGGCAGGGGTCCTGGACCACAAGACCCCCTTCCCAGAATCCCACTGCCACAACCCCCCAACTCTGGCTCTGGATATGGGGATGGGGGAACTAGCATGTTACCTGTTCCTGGAGCCACGGATGTCCCGGTGAGTTTGTACACCCCATTTGCTCCTTAGGTGAGGGAGAGGAGTATCTTCTTAGATTTTTTTTTTTGGACATCAGTCCTAGGACTTGAACTCTGGGTTTGGGCGCTGTCCCCTGAGATCAAGGCGAGTACTCTACCACTTGAGTCCCAGCACCACTTCCAGTTTTCTGGTGGTTCATTGGTGAAAAGAGTTTCACAGACTTTCCTTCCTTGGGCTGGCTTTGAACTCCAATCCTTTAGATCTCAGCGTCCTGAGTAGCTGGGATGACAGGCGGGAGCCATCAGCATCCAGCCTGCTTTGAATTCCTTAACAGAATAACTGGCTTGAACCCTGTAATTTAATTTGAATTCTCCCTCCAGTTTCAGTAATGAGGCCTCAAGTGTTTTTGATTTGCCCTCTCTGGCTAGCCAGAGGGAGAGACAGAGCATATTGCAAATGATTTGAGCTCTACTGACTTAGGAAAGGCTTACAGAATTGTGTTCTCTCAATGTGGTTAGATACTGTGGGATTCAAGATGCCAGTAAGAAAAACAAAAATGAAAACAAAAATTGTCTCCACCGGTAAATGAAAAAGAAATCTAGTATTTACATATGGGAATGAAAGAGTGTGGTATTGTGAGAAAACCCATCTTTTCTACCAAAGTAAATTTGCTTCCTTTCTGTGAGTTTCCAGAGACTTGTTTCTCTGAATGGCTCCTGCCTGGGCCGGTGGCTTGACCCTTGTGAATTACTTTAGTGACATCCATCCTTTTCCTGAGCATTTGAATGAAGATGGCCAGAGAGGAGCTCCTGGAATATGCTTACATCTTGTTAATTCAGCCACATCCTTCTGCAGACTGTGAACCTGAGCTCAGCCAATAGGAGCAGAGGGGCCTGAGCTTGGCCAATAGGAGCAGGGGAGGCTTAAACTTGGCCAATGTGGGCTGAGGGGACTGAGCTCAGCTAATGGGAGCCAGAAGGACCTGAGCGCAACCAATGGGAGCAGAGGAGGCCTGAGCTCAGCCAATGGGAGCAGAGGGGTGGAACCTGCTTGCTAGGGATAAAAAGGGAGCAGCCGGCCTGCTCTGTGTTGCTTGCTTGCCAGGTTTTTTGGCTGATGGCAGCTGCAGACTGCGGAAGTAAACTTTGCCTTGCTGAGCACATCCAGACAGGGCTTCAAAGGTGGAAGATTCTGGTATACAATGTTGTAGTCCATTCAGCTCCTATTAACAGAATAACCACAGTCAATGTGAGACTGAGGATCCACAGGAGTTGGTCTCTCAGAGCTCTGAAGATTGGAGTTTCAAGGTCAAGTGGATGACAGATTCCACTGTGTGGGGAGGTGGGAGAGCATCCTCCACCTGGACTCCAGAGATGACAACTTCTTGTTGCTCCCTGGTGTCTGTCTGTCTGTCTGTCTGTCTCTTGGCTTGAACCCAGGGCCAGGGTGCTGTCTCTGAACTCTTCTGCTCCAGGCTAGAGCTCATTACCAAGGATTCTTCCTCCACAGGGAAGCTTGCAACCATGAATCTGACCAGCAGGGAACCTGGGGCCTGATTCATCACTGTTAAGAATTCAGGTTGAGGGCGGGGATGGGGTAGTTTCTCCTGATTTTGTTTTTTGTTTTCTTTTTCTTTTTGGTTCTGTCTCTTCAGGCATGTGACCCAGGAGACAAGCCCATCTTCTTATCAGCAGAATATGTGAACGAACCTTTCCGAGTCCAAAGGGCAATGAGTGTGGTCAGTATTATGACCTCAGTCATCGAAGGTGAGTTGTGATCCTCCGGATAGCTGTCCTCTGTGCTAGTGTTTTCAGATTCTGAATATGCCTCCTCCCCATTGTGGCCTGCTCCTTTTACCCGTGTGTGTGTGTGTGTGTGTGTGTGTGTGTGTGTGTTTGGGAGGGTGTAGTAGAGTTGCTCTTTTAATATTTTTTGTGTTGGTTCTGGGACTGGAACTCAGGGCCTTCTCATTCTTGTTTAGCCTTTTTTTTTTTTGCTCAAAGCTGATGCTCTACCCTTTGAGCCACAGATCCACTTCCAGCTCTTTGTGTGTGTGTGTGGGGGGGGTTCATTGGCGAAAAGAGTCTCATAGACTTTCCTGCCTGGGCTGGCTTTGAACCCCGGTCCTCAGTTCTTAGGATTACAGGCATAAGCCACTGGTGCTGAGCAATTGTGACAGCTTTCCCTCCCCGCCCCCAGTGACAGAGCTAAAGGGATTCAGCAAAAGGAGGGGTGACCAAGGGGATCTGGGGTACTGAGGCAAGATGTTCATTAAGCCCAGTGATGTGTTATTGATAGAAGGAGACCTGGGCCCTGAGCTGGGGATGGGGGGGGGCGTGAAATCCAAGATGACATGTGATTGACAGCTGTCACTCACCCCCCGCTGTATGACAGAGCTGGAGGAGTCAGAGCAGAGGTGTCTGCCCTGTCTGATCAACTTGGCTCAGAAGTACCTGATCTGGGAGTGTTGTCCCACCTGGCTGAGGCTCAAGACGCTGCTCTTCGAGCTGGTGACGGACCCCTTTGCCGAGCTCACCATCACCCTGTGTATTGTGGTGAACACAGTCTTCATGGCCATGGAGCACCACGGCATGAGCAGCGCGTTCGAGTCCATGCTGCAGACGGGCAACATTGTGAGTGAGCCAGAGGGCAGGGCAGGGCAGGGCCAGGGGCTGTGTTGGCCACGCCTTATCAACCACCGGCTGATCTCATTGGCTGAAGTCTTAGCCTCATCAGGAATGGGCTGATCTCATTGGCTGAGTGGTGGCCACACTTTCTCAGGAGTGTATGGCTCTCATTGGCTGAGTGGTGGCCACACCTTCTCAGAGGCGTATGGCTCTCATTGGCTGAGTGGTGGCCACACCTTCTCAGGAACGTATGGCTCTCATTGGCTGCGTGCTTAGCCACCTCAGGAATGCATTGCTCTCATTGGCTGAGGGCAAAGTGACAGGATGGAAAATGTGGAACAGAGCTCAGGTTGCCTTCCTTAGGATGTACAAGCAAATGAGAGGGAGAAGAGGGATGGGGAGGGAGAGAAAGAGCGAACACTGAGCTAGGTATAGCTAGTTGAACATTACAGACGTTATTACCGTCCCTTGAATTCTCAGGAATCTGTGAAGTTTTTCTCTACAGTGAACTAGCAAAAAGCTAGACATGGAGCTGTGGCTCAAGTGGTAGAATGCCAGCCTTGAGTGAAAAAGCTAAGGGGCCGGGCCTTGAGTTCAAACCCCAAGACTAGGAAAAATATAGATAGATAGATGGATTTGCTGTGTTTTTGTTTTGTTTTTGTGCCTATCCTGGAGCTTGAACTCAGGGCCTGAGCACTGTCCCTGAGTTTTTTTCCCCTCCAGGCTAAATGTTACCAGTTGAGCCCCACCTCCACTTCTGGTTTTCTGCTGGTTCATTGGAGATCAGAATCTTACAGATTTTCCTGCCTGGGCTGGCTTTGAACCACGATCCTCAGATCTCAGCCTCTTGAGTAGCTGGGTTGACAGACGTGAGCCAGCGGTGCCCAGCATTATATATATTTGTTGGTTGGTTGGTTAAGGAAGATCAATAGAGCCAGCAATGATCACCAATTTTCCATTCTCTTATCTCTACCTTTCAAGGGCTGGGATTTCAGGCATGTGCCACAGGCCTAGCCAGGTTTGCTATTTGTAAATGACACTTTCTGACAGTCTTCCCTCCCCCCCCCCCATGATTACTACTGAGTTCAAAGGCCCTAAATGATAAAGTTGTGTTTCCATCCACAGGTTTTTACCACGTTTTTTACTGCTGAAATGGTCTTCAAAATCATCGCCTTTGACCCCTACTATTACTTTCAGAAGCGATGGAACATCTTCGACTGTGTCATTGTCACTGTGAGCCTGTCGGAGCTGGGAGTGGCCAAGAAGGGCAGTTTGTCTGTGCTTCGAACTTTCCGCTTGGTAACTTTTTCTCTTGGCCACTAGGAAACTCCCACTCAGATCCAAGGAGGCATTGTCCTGTTTTTGTTTGTCTGTTTGCCAGTCTTGGGGCTTGAACTCAGGGCCTGGGCACTGTCCCTGAGCTTTATTTGCTCAAGCAGGAACTCTACCATTTGAGCCATAACACCACTTCTGCTTTTCGGGTGGTTCCTTGGAGATAAGAGTCTCAAAGTCTTCCTACTTAGGCTGGCTTTGAACTGTGAACCTCCAGATCTCAGCCTCCTGAGTAGCTAGGATGATAGCTAGGATGAGCCACCAGCACCTAGCTTTGTTCTTTTTTTTGTGAGTCATTGTTGGTAATGGGGCTTGAACTCTGGGCCTGGGCGCTGTCCCTCAGCTCTTCAGCTCAAGGCTAGCACTCTACCACTTGAGCCACAGCACCACTTCCAGCTTTTTTCTTATGTGGTGCTGAGGAATCGAACCCAGGGCCTCAGGTATGCAAGGCAAGCGCTCTACCACTGAGCCACCTTCCCAGCCCTCATTTGCCAACTTCTATTTCCCCACTAAAAACTCTCACATGTCCACATTTCCTTCTTATTTTGTGCTAAACACTTCCTAATGTCAATTTTTATTTATCCTGTGATTAAAAGGTTAATTAGAGCCAGGTGCCAGGGCTTCACACCTGTAATTCTCGCTACCCCAGAGGCTGAGATCTGAGACTCGTGGTTCAAAGCCAGTCTGGGCATGAAAACACTGTGAGACTCTTCAATGACCCACAAAAAGTTGCAAGTGGAGCTATGGTTCAAATGGTAGCGCGCCAAGCCTTGAGCACAAAAGCTCAGGGACAGTGCTCAGGCCCTGAGTTCGAGCCTCAGTACCAGCACACACATAAAAGACAACTTTGAAATACAATTCCTAATTTCAAAATATACATGGTATTTCTGTTTATCATTATAATATGGGCTTCTAACTTAGGTGTTCTATAGTCAGAGAATACCCACTCTAGTGAGTTCTAAGGCTTTGAAACTTTGCTATTTTGGGGGCTCATTGTATTGGAAATGTTCTGCTTGGGTGTGGTAGTTTACCTCTGTAATCCCAGCACCAAGGAGGCTGGTGAATTTCAGGCCAGCCTGAACAATATGGCAAAAAACCTTCCTCAAAAAATAATAGCCCAGCATTGGTGGCTCACGCCTGTCATCCTAGCTGTTCAGGAGGCCGAGATCTGAGGATCATGGTTCAAAGCCAACTCATACAGAAAAGTCCCCAGGAGACTATTATCTCCAATAAACTATTCGGAAAAGGTGGCTCAAGTGGTAGAGTGCCAGCCTTGAGCAAAAGAAGCTCAGGGACAGTGCCCAGGCCCTCAGTTCAAGCCCCGGGACTGGCAAAAAAAAGAATATGGTAATGTCCTTTTTACCCACTGCTGTTTGTGGAATCTGGGTTGTTTGGTGCAAATATATTTTAAGTGAATCACATTTTCCCAGGAAAGGCAAGCTTTAATGATTGTACTAATGCACCTCCTTCATGTATAAAACAATAACAACCCTATTTTGCTCAATGCTAACTAAACAACCTGATTTTCTTTTCTTTTCTTTTTGCTTTCTTTGGTTTACATTTTACCAGTTTCTTTTTGTCCATCCTGTTTTTACAATTTGTTTTCTTTTTCTTTTTTAAAGTCCAAGACCAGGATTCGAACTTGGCACCTGAGTTTTTTGCTCACTGGTGGGTGCTCTACTCACTGAACCATGTCTCCAACCCCTTACCCATCCTTTTACTTATAAATTTAGTGTAGTCTTAGGATTAAAAAAAAACACTGGTCTCTTACAAATACTGTATAATCAGATTTTGTATTCTTATTCAGTTCCCATGATCTAATCTTTAGCGTCTAGCCAACCTGCCTGATCCACCTATTTAGATATATATCCATCATTACATCACTCAACCTCTCCCTTCCCAGCCCCTCCTCTATTTGCTTTGTTGGTGGTGGTGGTAGTAGTTTGTTGGGGCTTTTTTTTGGTGTGCCTGTGTTGGGGCTTGAACTCAGGGCCTGGCCGCTGTCCCTGAGCTCTTTTGCTCAAGGCTGGAACTCTACCACTTTGAGCCACCCATGGTGCCACTTCTGGCTTTTCTGGTGGTTCATTGGAGATCAGTCTCATGGGCTTTCCTGCCCGGGTCTGGCCTCGAACTGCGATCCTCCAGCTCCCAGCCTCCTGAGTCATTGGGATGATGGGCGTGAGCTGCCAGACCCCAGCTCTCCAGTGCAGCATTCACCTCGTGATATCTTTTTTCTCCCTCGCACAGCTCCGTGTGTTCAAGTTAGCCAAATCGTGGCCGACCTTGAACACGCTCATCAAGATCATTGGGAACTCCGTAGGGGCGCTGGGGAATCTGACCTTCATCCTGGCCATCATCATCTTCATCTTCGCGCTGGTTGGCAAGCAGCTCCTGAGCGAGGGGTACAGAAAAGAATGCAAGCGCATCGCCGCCCAGGGGGAGCCGGGCCCGCGCTGGCACATGATGGATTTCTTCCATTCCTTTCTCATCATCTTCCGCATCCTCTGTGGGGAGTGGATTGAGAACATGTGGGCCTGTATGGAAGTCGGCGAGAAATATATCTGCCTCATCCTCTTCCTCACCGTGATGGTGCTGGGAAATCTGGTGGTGAGCTGTGGACTCCATTTGGTCCGGGGGGGGGGAGGGGCTGGCATGCCTGAGTCTCCCCAAAATGCCTTCAGCTTGCATGGTTGGTTGTGGTTATTTTTAAATTAAAAAAAATTTGATGCAAAGGTCCTGGGGCTTGAACTCAGGGCCCAGGCGCTGTCTCCTCAGCTTCTTTTGCCTATGGCTGGTGCTTTACCGCTTGAGCCACGGCACCACATTGGGGTTTTTGCTATTAAGTGGAGATAAGGAATGGGGGGGGGCCCAGGGACTTAGTTCACGTCCCAGCTTGAACTGGTGGCTCACGCCTGTCATCCCAGCTACTCAGGAGGCTGAGATCTGAGGATCAAGGTTCAAAGCCAGCCTGGGCAGGAGAGTCTGTGAGACTCTGATCTCCAATAAACCACCAGAAAACCAGAAAGGAAACTATGGCTCAAGTGGTAGAGCACCAGCCTTGAGCAAAAGAAGCTCAGAGACAGCGCTCAGGTCCTGAGTTCAAGCCCCAGGACTGACAAATAATAATAATAATACTTTAAACAACTGGAACCCAGGGCTGGCCCAAGCCTTCTTTCTTGTCCCTCATGTCCCTTCTCTCAAAAAGCTCATCCTCCCCTCTTGTGGAGAGCATGGCACTGTGCCTCATCACCTGATTCATGGCAGGGCATTCTGGAACATTCTCTGGACCCCTTATCACATGTTTTCTGGGTATCTTGGAGAAACCCAACTTGTGGCTTTCCTGGCTGTCCCACATGGAGCAGGTAGGTCCAAGATGGCGCTCCACGGCTTGATGTCTCCCATCCACTCTTCCTCCTTCAGGTGCTCAACCTCTTCATCGCCCTCCTGCTCAATTCCTTCAGCGCTGACAACCTCGCGGCCCCCGAGGATGACGGAGAAGTCAACAACCTCCAGGTGGCCTTGGCACGGATTCAGACATTTGTCCATCGCATCAGGCGGGCCATTGGCAAATTCTTCCGGCGGGCCTGTTGTTGGGGCTGGCCCAAGGCACAATCCAAGATGGTGGTGAAACTTCCACTCTCCACCAGCAGCTCCAAGATGGAGAACCCCCCTGCTGTGGACGGTGTGCTGGCCAGCTCGGATCTGCCCACGCTTGGAGACCCAAGGAACCAACATGGCGACTTCATCACCAACCCAAGTGTGTGGGTCTCTGTGCCCATCGCTGAGGGGGAGTCAGACCTGGAGGAAGAGGATGGTGAGCAGGAAATGAGTCCCAAGGAAGTGGAGGCAAGTGTTGGTCCCTCCCAGGGGACAGCCGCCCAGAAGTGGGGGAGGGACTCAGGGTAGGAAGGAAATTATGGCAGTGCGGGAGGGTGGGGAGAGAGAGAGAGAGAGACATTGTCCCCAGGATGCTCTTTGTTTGAAGAACCCCTGGGGAGAACGATCAGCAGTGAACTTGACATCCAGAAAGCTTGGAGATCATTGGCATTCATGGTGCCTCAGTAGGTCCTTCAAATTCCCCAGGCCAGGGGAAAGGGGGGAGCCAGACTCAGAATTGCTTTTCCAACAGCTGTGCTTTGGACATGGCCCAACCCAGGCTCTTAGGCATCAGAGGTGAATTGTTTTATATGGAACAAATAATGGCACCCAAGGAAGGCATCACGGTCACGTGACTCCCTGACAGAGTCTTTCCTGCTGTGGTATATCCTAGGAAAATGAGATGATTTTCTATGTGCCCGTGCTGTGGCTTGAACTCAGAGCCTCAAGCTCTCCCTTGGCATTTTCACTCCCTCCCCCCACCCTTGAACCACTCCTCTTCTTCTGGCTCTGTGGTGGTTCATTGGAGATAAGTCCCCTGGATTTCCCCACCCAGGGCTGGCCTTGAACCTCCATCCTCAGATCTCAGCCTCCTGAGAAGTTAGGATGACAGGCAGGCGTGAGCCACACCGGTGCCCGGCTGGACATTTCTTTTGGCATCAGAGAATCAAAGGCATCTTTCAGTGCTTTCCTGGCGTACATTTTCCCACTCCTCTGTGCAGTTGCTCACAGCTTTAAGCTGGGATCTCGGCCCCCAGGAACCTGTCCTGGGGCTTCAGGGCTTGGTGGCCCTGGGCCTGGTGGAGGGCGAGAGTTTCTGTGGGGCCTGTGGGACATGCGCAGCCTGGACAGATGCCAGGTGCTAAGTGGTGTCAGACAGCTGTGCTTGGAGTGCTCTCTCTCTCTCTCTCTCTCTCTCTGGTTCTTAATAGCTGTCCCGAGCTTCTCGTAGCTGCTCTTATCAGCTGCCAGTTGCCGCACGCCTGTCTGGGTAGCAGCTGAAGGCAGGGTGGGCTCCTCCCCAGGATGGCGGCCTGCCCCACGGGGGCCAGGCAGAGTTATGTTGGGTCCTGAGGGCTGGGCGGATGGTCAAGTTCATGACCGGTCCGACTTGCAGGTGGGGTGCAGTCCTCATAGCTGATAACCGATGAAGCTGGCCGCCCTCTGCCAGAGAACTTATTTGTCGTAATCTATGGGGCCGTGGCCATGGGGTGTATGCAGGGCAGCGGGAACTGGGGTCACACCATCCCTCTGGACACTGGCAGGGTAACACAAGGCACAGAGGAAAGCGGACATGGGTGGTGTCAGGAAGGGGGTCCCGGAAGGGGGGGCGAGGGCAGTGCTGATGGTCAGTGTCCCCATGGAGCTGGGTAATTTGAGGGGTGGAGGAGGGTGGAAGGGGGGGACACCGACCAAGGCACATTGCCTTGTACCCCGACATGTTGAACTGAGACCCCTTCCATACAATGACTTAAAGATAATTTTAAAAATTATATGTGGCTACATGTAATTCCAGAAATATTATATATAAATGTAGTTCCAGAACTATTATATATAATTGCATACATATAGGTAATTATATGACCATGCAAATATATAAGCATATAAGCATTTCAGGTTACATAAGTTTATTATATAATATATGATATATAATATACAATATGATATATAATATACAATATGATATATAATATACAATAGAATATATGATATATAATATGTGGTATATAATTTATAAATTAAATACATTTATATACTTTTAATTATAGTTAATTATATAATTATAATTAATTATAACCATAATTATATTAGTTATCTACATTAGAAAATTATATAAATTATATCATCTAAGTATATATTATATTGTTACATATATGTTACATATAATTATATACATACATTATATATTTTATATAATATGTAATTTGTTTACATAATTTAATATATACATATTTATGGACATAAATTATATATTATATGTAACTATGTAATATTATACACTGTATAACTTATATATATAAATATAATGTGTAAAGTTATATTATACATAATTATATATAAGTATGTATTCAGTATATATAGCAATTATAATTATTTACTAATGGTATATATTATATTTACTATAAATATAAATGTAGTATTTAAAACTTATATTACTTATAAATATGATGTATTCATTATGATTGAAATATCTTTCTATTACATATGATACTTATAATTATATATCCAATAATTACATGTGGTCATATATTATAAATATATAATATATGCATAAGCCTATAACATGCATATATGCTTATTGAACAACAATGAAGTCAACCTTTCCTTCTCAATTTTTGCAGTCAGGGAAAAATGTTCAGAGAGATTAAATAATTTGCCTCTGGTCACACAGCATTGAAGTCATGGAGCTAAGTGTTAAACACTAATTTACCTCGTTGGGGAGTCTTCATGCTTATTTCATGCAAATTATATATAGATGTGTGTGTGTGCGTGTGTGTGTGTGTGTGTGTGTGTGTATGTCTGATGGGTTGCATAAATAAGATCCTTAGCTCTAGTCTTGTGCAAAAGCTCCTCAGCTCTGGAAGTGACCAGCTCCAATTGGCTCAGACACCTAAGCTGGGACTCTCTTTCACTGGCAGGAGCAACAGCAGCAATTTGGGAGCCAAGAGGATCACCTGGCCTGTAGGAGCCCAGGGTCTGGGTCATCCTTTGAGGATCTTGGCCCATTCCTGGGGGGCAAATGGACAGACAAGGCTGTTCCTCAGGTCCCTGCTGAGGTAAGTGGGTTGGACAATAAAGGATGGACCCCAGACAGAATATTCCAGACTAAAACCCAACCAAGTAGCCTCACTTCACATGCTGGGCCTTTTTCACTCCCTCCCAATGTTCCATACAACATTGACAGACCCTCCTCCAGCTGTGGGTCCTGGAGCCAGTTCCCCAGCCTCTCTGAGCCTTTGCTTCTTTGCCTGTACAGCTGCAGAGGGTGTCGGGCCCAGTAGCTCACACCTGTAATACCAGCTGTTCGGGAGGCCGAGATAGCAGGATCTCCATTCAAATCCAGTCCGAGATGGGAAAATCCATTAAGGAAAATCTGTTCCTTCTAACCCAAATGCCAGATGTGGAGGTGTGGCTCAAGAGGTAGAGCACCTGCCTTGAGCCCAAAGAGCCTGATCAGGGACAGCTCCCAGGTCCTGAGTTCAAGTCCCGGAACTGACCCAAAAAAAGTGTGCTATCTTTTCTAGCCACTGTAATCGATTTTATGTTTTTTTAGTTTCTCTTATTGCTATTATAAAGTAATGGACAGCGGGGTGACAGTCCCAGAAGTCAGGAGACAAGCACATTTCCTCTTGGACCATGTTCCCACCCACAAGGTATAGAGATCATTCTCCACATCCCGTCCAGTGAAGACCAGGGCTGCCTCTGTTCACCCTCCGTCCCCCCCCCCTCATTTCTGTGTCCTGTAGGAGAGAGGACATGGTGTCGGGTGTCTCTCTGAGCCTGGCTGACCTCTCCTCACACCACGTGTGTTAGGTCCGTCCAGTTCCCTGCAGATGACGTAATGTTATTCTCTCTCGTGTGGCTCTGTGAGATTCCATGACGGGTCAGAATTTCACTTGACACCCGGCCCCTGGAGTGTGCGGAGCTGGCGTGAAGGGCCAGAGATAAGGCAGACACCATCTATTCCCGGAATTATCTGGGTCCTCCCGTGTGAGGAATGCCAGCTCAGAAATGTCCACCCACCACTGCCTGCAAGCCCAGCCCTGGCCAGCCACGGGCCGTGAGGGAGATGAAGCCCACAGGGACGCCCACCCTTGGGTGCAGGAGGCCCGTCTCCTTGAACTTAGGGCCTGGGCGCTGTCCCTCAGCTCTTCGGCGCAAGGCTGGTGCTCTACCACTTGAGCCACAGCACCACTTCTGAATTTCTGATGGTTCATTGGAGGTGAGAGTCTCACGGACGTTCCTGCCCCAGGCTGGCTTTGAACTGTGATCCTCAGATCTCAGCCTCCTGAGTCGCTGAGATGACAGGCGTGAGCTGCTGGTGCTCACTTGGCTTGTATATGGGGGTCTTACTCCTTGGCTAGGCCTGCGTGGCTGGAATGGCAGGCACCTGCTCCTGCACCCAGCTAGTGGTTGAGGTAGAGTCTCTCCTAAAATTCTCCCTCCTTTAGGCTAGCCTGGGAATCACTGTGACACCCCCCCCCCAATCCTGTCTCAGTTTTTATTCGCTGGGATTACAAGCTTGACCTACCACACACGGTTGTGTTTCTTGTATATTCTCTTCCTCCCTCCTCCATGGTTGCAGGACACAGTCTCTGGGTGTTGGTTTTTGGTGGTTGTCTTGTGGGTTGTTTTCTATTGTTACTGTTGTTGTTGTTTCCTGACCGTGGTCCCTCGGGCAGGCTGGGAATTGTCTGTTGGTGACCGATGGGGACCCAACTCTGCCATTTGCATCCATTAAGCCCAGCCCTGGGAAATTTTACTCACGGAAGAGTGGCTTGCACTCCTAATTGATGTTCTTCTGGAAACATTAAGGGGCTGCGGCTGGCCGGAGGAGGCAGGCCCGACCCAGGGCACAGCGCCTGTTAAATGTTCACACACACCAGAGCCTGAGCTTGTCCTTAATGGGTGTAATCACAAGGCCTCAGCTCACCTGCCAGCGCTCCCATTGGAGGAGCAGCTTCCCTCCCGGTGAGGGGTCCCCCAAAGCAGAAGTGCGGGTGTCCCAGGCCTGGGACCTGAGGATATGGGTCCTGCTTCCTCCCCTTCCTCTTCCCCCTTCTCTTCTTCCTCCTTCCTCTTCTCCTGCTCTTTCTCTTCCTCCCCCTTCTTCTTCTCTTTCTCTTCTTCCTCTTCCTCCCTCTTCTCTCCCCCAGGAGCCTTGGGCTCTCACTCAGCTTCTCTGCTCAGCATTGGCACTCTACTCCTCAAGCCACACCCTCACTTTCTTTGAGGTGATCCACGGGAGATAAGAGTCTCTTGGATTTGTCCTGCCCGGGCTGGCTTTGAACCATGATCCTCCCGATCTCAGCCTTCCTTGTATCTAGGATGACAGGCGTGTGCCCCCCCTCCCCTCCCCATCCTCACACCCGCCCACAGCTTGTGCCCCCTGACCCCAGGCTCTGACCCACAGGAGGCGGATGATGTCAGCAGCTCGGAGGGGAGCACGGTGGACTGTGTGGACCCTGAGGAGATCCTGAGGAAGATTCCCGAGCTGGCCAATGACCTGCAGAAGCCGGAGGACTGCTTCCCGGAAGGTAGAGGAGGCCACTGCAGGTCTCACATGCGTGGTGTGGGCACACGTGTGCCCGGCTTCAGGTCGGTGCACACCTCTGTGGCCAGGCAGTCAAACCTCGGGCCTAAGGCCCAGGGTTAAAGGCATCCCAACCCAGTGGCCGCTCCGAGGTTCACGGCCATGGTAGATGGACGCATCAGACGTCTGTCCTCAGCATCCCTGGCCAGAAACCTCACTGTGAACTTGTGTGTATGTGTGCATGAATGTGTGTGTTGCATGTGCCAGTCCTGGTGTGTGTGTGTGTGTATACGTCCTGGGGCCTGAACTGTCCTTGAGTTCTTTAGGGTGTGTGTGTGTGTGTGTACGTCCATCCTGGGGCTTGAACTCAGGGCCTGGGTGCTGTCCCTGAGCTCTTGTGCTCAAGGCTGGCACTCTACCACCTGAGCCACAGCGCCACTTGAGGCACACTTCTGGTCTTCTGGTGGTTCATTGGAGATCAGAGTCTCACAGGTTTTCCTGCCCCGGCTGGATCCTCAGCTCTCAGCCTCCTGAGTGGCTGGGGTAACTAACAGGTGTGCGCGGCCTGAGCCCCATGACTGTTGTGAGTGGAAAGGGCAGTGGCAGGAGGTCATTCTCCTCTATTCCCAGAAAGAATCTCCCTGCTGGGTGATTTCCTGGCAGGGCTGGAGTGGAAAAAGAAAATTAAAACAGAAAAGACCTCAAGAGAATATCACTCTGTAGGGCGCTGCCTGTCATCCCAGCTGTCCAGGAGGCTGAGACCTGAGGATCCCGGTTCAAAGCCAGCCCGGTGTGAGAGTCTTACCTCCAATGAACCACAAAAATCCAAAGTGGCGCTGTGGCTCAAGTGGTATAGTGTCAGCCTTGAGCTAAAGAGCTCAGGGGCAGCCCCCAGGTCCTGAGTTCAAGCCCCAGATCTGACACGCATGCATGCACACACACACACACACACACACGGAACTGACTCTCAAGACCCAGGACCAGCACATAAAGGTTCACGTGCACACACACACATGCACACATGTGCGCGCGCTCAGGAACTGACTCTCCTCGCCTCTCCCTGCAGGCTGTGTGCGGCGCTGCTGCCCGGGCCTCCCCGCAGACCCCGCCCGCTGCCCATGGGCCTGGCAGGTGCGCAGAACCTGCTTCCACATCGTGGAGCACAGCTGGTTCGAGAGCTTCATCATCTTCATGATCCTGCTCAGCAGCGGGGCCCTGGTGAGGCCTGGCACGGCCCCGCCACCTCCCTCCCAATGCAAACCTCCAGGATCTGCGCATGGAGGCCAGGGCTGGAGCAGCGGGCTCGCCCTGAGGCCCAGGCCCGCCGTGCTCCACGCAGGCCAGGAAGGGCAGCCTGGGTCTGCTCCCAACTACTCCCATCCGCTCCGCTCCGCTCTTGGCGCAGCCCCGCCACCTCCCTCCCAATGCAAACCTCCTGGATCCGCACATGGAGGCCCGGGGCCGGAGCAGCGGGCTCGCCCTGAGGCCCAGGCCCGCCGTGCTCCACGCAGGCCAAGAAGGGCAGCCTGGGTCTGCTCCCAACTACTCCCATCCGCTCCGCTCCGCTCTTGGCGCAGCCCCGCCACCTCCCTCCCAATGCAAACCTCCAGGATCCGCACATGGAGGCCCGGGGCCGGAGCAGCGGGCTCGCCCTGAGGCCCAGGCCCGCCGTCCTCCACGCAGGCCAGGAAGGGCAGCCTGGGTCTGCTCCCAACTACTCCCATCCGCTCCGCATCGGGGCCTGGCGCAGCCCTGCCACCGCCTCCCTCCACAGGCAAACCTCCCCTGGGCCTTGCTGTCCCCTCGAGCCCTGTCCCCCTTGGGCCTGGCTGTCCCCCCTCCCCTGCTCCTCTCCCAGGTGGACACTCGGGTCCTGCACAGCGGCTGCCCTCCAGAGAGCCTAACAGACTTGTACTGAATTTAGTCTTCTCTATGCTTTTGAGTGCTTTTAATAATAATAATATGAACTTTCCCTTGACCAAAAATCAGAGGCAAAAAATAAAAAGCCTTCGAAATGATAGAAAAAGGTAAAGGAAACAAAAAAATTAAAATATCATCTCTTTGTCTCACATGCCACAGAAACTCATGTGGAAAAACATTCTGGAATATATTCTTGCTTGCTTTCTTATTGGTAGAAGATATACAGAGTATTGGATATAGACATGATGTATTTTATATTATATATTAGAACATATATTTACATAGAGTTATATAAATATATGTTATTCATATATCTGTCTATAATATAGTATATTCATATATAACACAGATATATATTTTTTAATTATATATTTTTCTAATTTTTTTGGGGGGTCCGGTCGTGGGGCCTGAACTCTGGGCCTGGGCGCTGTCCCTCAGCTCTTCAGCTCAAAGCTAGCGCTCTACCACTTGAGCCACAGTGCCACTTCCGGCTTTTTTTTCTTTTTGCTTATGTGGTGCTGAGGAATCGAACCCAGGGCCTCAGGCATGCAAGGCTCTACCACTGAGCCACCTTCCCAGCCCCCACAGATATATATTATAAAATATTATTAGGTATGTATCTACCTATATAATACATAGATTAGATATACATTATTAGATATCTGTCTATATTATACATGTATATTCATATATAACACGTTAGCTATATATTATATTATTGGATATATTATATCTACATATCTACCTAGAATGGGCTCAGCTCTTAGCTGGCACATACATATAGATATGTAACTATGTTTATATATTATGTATTAGATTTGTATCTATATAATAGTATGTGTGTATATATATCTATATAATAGTGTGTATCTGTGTGTATAACTGGAAGCCGGGTGCCAGTGGCTCATGCCTGTAATCCTAGCTACTCAGGAAGCTGAGATTTGAAGATCTAGGTTTAAAGCCAGCCCAGGCAGAAAAGTCCATGAGACTCTTACCTCCAATTAACCACCAAAATGCTGGACATAAACCTTTGGCTCGTATGGTAGAGCACCAGCCTTCAGTAAGAGCTAAAAGAGTTCAAGCCCTAATACTGATGCGCGTGCGCACGCGCGCGCGCACACACACACACACACACAATCTGGGAAGTTTGTAATTTCTCAATATGTTTTTCTCTAGAAAATATTCACATGTATCTCATTTAATAGCTACAATATATTCCAGGATAGAAATATGCCATAATTTATTCAAGCAATTCCCATATTTACTTTGTGTGTGTGTGTGTGTGTGTGTGTGTGTGTGTGTGTGTGTTTGCCAGTACTAGACCTGGGCTCTGTACTTGAGATTTTTTTTGTTCAAGACTGGTGCTCTACCACTCAAGCCACAGCTCCACTTCTGACTTTTTGGTGTTCAACTGGATATAAAAAAGTCCCACAGATTTTTCCTGCCCAGGCTGGCTTCAAACCACAATCCTCAGAGCTCAGCCTCCTGAATAGCTAGGATGACAGGCACAAGCCACTGGTGCCCAACACAAGTAAATCTACTTTTACATTTCCATTCCCTTGATTACCAGTGATCTAGAACCTTCTTTCTTCTAGAGTTTTCTGGGTGACTCTTACTTTTCCCCCCTTCTTTTTTGCATTTTGTGAATTGCCTGAAGACATCCTTTGATAGCATTTATTATTATTTCTCAAACCAAGCCACTTTGGCTCATACCCAAAAATACAATTGGAGAAAGTCTCCTTGCTCGGATTGCATTTAGCAAACCCTGTACAATATCCGAGACTATCCACGCCTCTGTTCCCTATAATAAAGTCTTGGCCTATGTCCCACCAAGATTTTCCCACTCTCCACCGTGTCTCCCCAGGGCGGAGAAAAGAAAAACACTGAGCAAGCTGGCTGATAGAGATACTCTCCCCAAAACTGCAGGCAGAGCTGGAGGGGGCTCCTGGCCTCGAGTGTCCATCTGTCCATCTGTCTGTCCATCAGTCAAGGCAGCTCGCTCTTCTCTCCTCTGTCCTCCAGGCCTTTGAAGACTGCCACCTGGACCAGAAGCCGATGGTGAAGTCATTATTGGAATACACGGACCGCATGTTCACCTTCATCTTCGTGTTTGAGATGCTGCTCAAATGGGTGGCCTATGGCTTTAAGAAATATTTCACCAATGCGTGGTGCTGGCTGGATTTTCTCATTGTTAATGTGAGTGGCTCTGGGTAGAGCAGCCCCATTGGGTCGCCATTGTTGATGTATGACCAGATTTATTTTATTTTATTTCCTATTTTTGTCAGGCTTGAACTCAGGGCCTGGGCACTGTCCCTGAGCTTCTTTCTCTCAAGGCTGGCACTCTACCACTTGAACCACAGTGCCACTTCTGGTCTTCTGGTGGTTCATTGGAGATAGGAGTCTCATGGACTTTTCTGCTGGGCTGGCTTTGGATCGTGATCCTCAGATCTCAGCTGCCTGAGTAGCTGGGATGACAGGTGTGAACCACCAGCACCTAGTTTAATGACTGTGTTTAGTGTCCAGGAAGATCCTTTATGGCTAATATATATATACATATATAATTTTATTGTTATGTTAAAGGTGATGTACAGAGGGGTAACAGTTATATGAGTCAGGGAAAGAGTACATTTCTTTGCAAACAATGTCACCCTTGAAAATATTAAGAAAGAAGGAAGGAAGGAAGGAAGGAGGGAAGGAAGGAAGGAAGGAAGGAAGGAAGGAAGGAAGGAAGGAAGGAAGGAAGGAAGACAACCCAGTACCTGCCATGCTAATTTCTCAGGAGGCTGAGATCTGAGGATTATGGTTCAAAGCCAGCCCGGGCAGGGAAGTCCATGAGACTCTCATCTCCAACAAACCATCAGAAAACCAGAAGTGGTGCTGTGTGGTTCAAGTGGTAGAGCGCCAGCCTTTGAGCAAAAGAAGCTCAGGGACAGCTCCCAGGCCCTGAGTTCAAGCCCCAGGAATGACAAAAAGAAAACAAAAAGAGATAGAAATTGAAGCGGAGTGAAGGGGTCTCTTCCTTTCCCTGGGCTGTTTCTCGAATCCTGTGCTTGTGTTCTCTGCCTGCCCCCAGATCTCACTCGTGAGCCTCATAGCGAAGATCTTAAAATCCGATGTTCAATCCATCAAGGCCCTGAGGACTCTCCGTGCCCTGCGGCCCTTGCGGGCTCTGTCTCGATTTGAGGGCATGCGGGTAAGACCCGGCTCATACCTTCTCTGCTTAGCAACCTTTAGCACCTCAGTGTGTGCCAGACCTGGGGTTTGAACCCAAGACCTAAGCGCTGTCCCTGAGCTTTGGTGCTCAAGGCTGGCGCTCTCCCACTTGAGACACAGCGCCACTTCTGCTGTTTTTTGCTGTCTTGTTGGAGATGAGAGTCTTTCACCTAGTCTCAGCCTTGCTGCTTCCTGACGTTGCCAACTATGTGGGGTTCCTCCTATCTTCACCATCCTGGGTATCTTGTGTCTCTGTCTCCCATTTTCATCATCAAGAACACCTTGAGTGCTGGGAAGGTGGCTCAGTGGTAGAGTGCTTGCCTTGCATGCCTGAGGCCCTGAGTTCGATTCCTCAGCACCACATAAACAAAAAGAAAAAAGCCAGAAGTGGCGCTGTGGCTCAAGTGGTAGAGTGCTAGCCTTGAGCTGAAGAGCTGAGGGACAGCGCCCAGGCCCAGAGTTCAGGCCCCACGACCGGACCCCCCCCAAAAAAAAGAACACTGTGAGTTCTCCATCTTTCCATGAGCACAAATGCGCTTCTGCATGTGCGTGTGCATGCATGCATGCTGCACACACACCAGCACTGGAGTTTGAACTCAGGGCCTTCCCTTCCTGCTTAGATTTTATTCCCTCAAGGCTGATGCTCTACCACTTGAGCCACTGCTCTACTTCTGGCATTTTGCTGGTTCATGGGAGATCAGAGTCTCACGGACTCTCCTCATCTCCCCCCTCCCCACCCCCGGGGCTGGCTTGGAAATGTGATCCTCCAGATCTCAGCCTCCAGCGTCACTGGGTTGACAGGTGTGAGGCACGGCACATGGCAGGGGTGGTAGATATGAGGCTGCAGGTGGTTTTCTCCATCTCTCTCCTTAGGTGGTGGTGGACGCGCTGGTGGGCGCCATCCCCTCCATCATGAACGTCCTGCTCGTCTGCCTCATCTTCTGGCTCATCTTCAGCATCATGGGCGTGAATCTGTTTGCGGGCAAGTTCGGCCGCTGCGTCAAGCAGACAGACAATGGATTCTTGCTGGTGAATCTGTCGACTGTGGACAACCTGTCCGATTGTCGGGAAAAGAACGACACCGGCCACCTGTTCTGGGTCAACGTGAAGGTCAACTTTGACAACGTAGCCATGGGCTATCTCGCACTCCTACAGGTGGTGAGTCGCCCAGGTGGCCGCTGGATCTCCTCCTGGGCCCTGCAATGGATGGAGAACCCTGATACTCACCCACAGGGGCATAGATGGAGTGGAGGGCCAGCACTGCATGAGAGTTGAGGTCCATCTCCAGGACTACAGGCAGCACAACTTAGCTAGGCAATCTTGCTGGAGAGTGTGGTGTCACAGGGGCTAAATTGAGATAAGTCAGAACTGCACCAACAGGAGACAAGGCTAGCACCAGTCGCCTGAGCTACTCGGGAGGCTGCGATCTGGAGGATTGTGGTTCAAAGCCAGCCTGGGCAGGAAAGTCTGTAAGACTCTCATCTCCAATGAACCACCAGAAAACCAGAAGTGGCGCTGTGGCTCAAGTGGTAGAGCGCCAGCCGAGCAAAAGAAGCTCAGGGACGGCATGCAGGCCATGAATTCAAGCCCCAGGACTGGCAAAAGAGGGAGGGAAGGAAGGAAGGAAGAAGGGAGGGAAGGAGGGAGGGAAGGTAGGAAGGAGGGAAGGAAGAAAGGAAGGAAGGAAGGAAAGAAGGAAGGAAGAAAGGAGGGAAGGAAGAAAGGAAGGAAGGAAGGAAAGAAGGAAGGAAGAAAGGAGGGAAGGAAGAAATGAAGGAAGGAAGGAAAGAAGGAAGTAAGCAAGGAGGGAAGGAAAGAGGGATGGAAGGAAGGAGGGAAGGAAGGGAGGGAGGAAAAAGGGAAGGAAAGAAGGGAGGGAGGGAGGGAGAGAGGAAGGAAGGCAAGAAAGAAAGAAGAGAGAGAGAGAAAGACTTAATCAAGAACACCAAATGCCTTTGTTTGCAGTTCATCCCACAGCTAAGTATCTAGGTGCCCCCGCTCCTTGCCACATTCTAGAAAGTTCCATATCTTTAATAACATTCTATTCTGCTCCGTTTGTTTCATGTGCCTTTCCTGGGGCTCAAACTCAGGGCCTCAGCACCTTGCCCTTAATCCTTCTGTCACTCAAGGCTGGTGCTCTACCCTTTGAACCACGACACCACTTCCCTCCAATATTTTTTGGTGGCCCCTTACCTGAACCATGATCCTCCAGATCTCAACCTCCTGAGTTACCTAGGCGTGAGCCACATTGGGGAGGCTTTCCTTTTGCATGAGGTACAAACCAGCTCGCCCAGTCCTCCTCCAGTCTCCTTGTCACGAGCACCCATGGAAGGTCCAGTATGGACGGTTATGGGCCCTGAGTGTTCTCTGTTCCTTGTCTCCAGGCAACTTTCAAAGGGTGGATGGACATCATGTATGCAGCCGTTGATTCTCGGGATGTGAGTCTTTGTTCACCGTACCTGCATCCCACCTTCTCTCTGTCTGTCCAACCTGTGTTATTCTGCACCTGAGCTAGAATGAACACAGGGACCAGTCACCTGCCTTCCGCTGCCAAAATGTCTGTCTGCTTTTCTTTACTTTTTATTCCTATTTTTTATTATTTATTTTGCTCGGTCGTGGGGTTTGAACTCATGGTCTGGGTGCTGTCCCTGAGCTTCTTTTGCTCGGCTGGTGCTCTACCACTTGAACCACAGCACCACTTCCAGTTTTTTTTGTGGCTCATTGGAGATGAGAGTCTCATGGATTTTCCTGCCCTGGGCTGGCTTTGAACTACAGTCCTCCAGATCTCAGCCTCCCAAGTAGCTGGGATGACAGGTGTGAGCCATGGGTGCCTTGGCAACTTGCCTGGTCTTTAACATCAGTTTCCTACCCACTCACCTTCTCCCTGTGTTCGTCCTTCTATGGTCACAGGTGGACAGCCAGCCCTCGTGGGAGTATAATGTGTATATGTATTTGTACTTCGTCATCTTCATCATCTTCGGTGGCTTCTTCACGCTGAATCTCTTTGTTGGGGTCATCATCGACAACTTCAATCAACAGAAGAAAAAGATAAGTGGAGCATGTACCTCTGTGTGTGTGTGTGTGTGTGTGTGTGTGTGTGTGTGTGTGTGCATGTGTTTGTGCATGCATGCATGTCCATCCTGGGGCTTGAACTCAGAGCCTGGGCACTGTCCCTGAGCTCTTTCACTCAAGGCTAGCACTCTACCACTTTGAGCTATAGCTCCACTTCTGGTTTTCTGGTGGTTCATTGGAGATAAGAGTCTCACCGACTTTCCTGCCCAGGCTGGTTTTGAACCACGATCCTCTATATCTCAGCCTTCTGAGTAGCTAGGTTGATGGATGCACCCAGTAGGGTGTGTACCTTCTCTTTGAGTCCTACTCATAAATCTTTTCCCTGGTCCATCCTACCATCTAAGCAGCCTTTCTGAGCTCCTAGGAAATTAAAAGCCCACTTTGCTTTATAAAGAGATCCAAGCAGAGAGTCAATCCCAGATGGTCAAGACCAATCCACTGCTCTGGCATTGATTGCTAACACCTGGGCAAGATTCTCCATGCTCCTGGGCTTGGTGCACCATTTTCATTTTTATTTTTTAGGAGGGGGGGAGTGGGAGAAAGAAGGTTAAAATGATTCTTAAGCTCTAATAACAGCCATGTGTCCTCTCATACCTAGGGGGCCAGGATATCTTCATGACAGAGGAACAGAAGAAATATTATAATGCCATGAAAAAGCTTGGATCCAAAAAACCCCAGAAACCCATTCCTCGGCCCCTGGTGAGCCCCCTCCCGCAACCTCCACCCCTCATTTTCCTTCTAGAAGCGTGCACCTAGGCCTGGACTGGAAAGGGGGAAGATCTGGCCAAGGGGAGGAGATCGGGGTTGAGTCTGAAGAGGGGTTCAAGAATGGAAAAGTTTATAAGAAGCATTGCAGGTCTTTTGAGGTGGTAGTTGCTTCAGTTTGGGGGAGTGGTAGGATCTACAGCAATTTTAGGGTGTAAGTCCAAGAGTAGAAGCAGATTATATGGATGGTAGGTCCCAAGAGAAGAATGAAACATTTATGTAATTCTTTTTTTAAAAGAAGTTTTCTGCCAGGCACCGATGGCTCATGCCTGTCATCTTAGCTCCTCAGGAGGCTGAGATCTGAGGATCATGGGTCAAAGCCAGCCTCAGGCAGGAAAGTCTGTGAGACTCTTATTTCCCATGAACCACCAGAAAACTGGAAGTGGCGCTGTGGCTCAAGTGGTAAAGCACTTGCTTTGAGTGAAAAAAGCCTAGCTAGAGTGAGAAAGATATGAGTGAAAATCTCAGGACTGGTGACACACACATACTCACACACACACACACACAATACACACACACACACACACACAAAACAGGGTGGGGGGGAGGTTCTAAAGGACAACAGCCACTAACTAAAAGTGAATTAATTCATTAATCAATTAATTAATGGATTAATAGATGAACCCACTGATGGCTTAATTAATTAATGGACTAATTGATGAACCCACTAATTGATTAATCATTTATTAATTAATTGATTAACAACTGATTATTTGATTAGAGGATGGATTAGAGGATGGATTCATTAGCTAGTTGACTCATTACTGGGTTAGTTAGTTAATTGATCGATGAATTAGTTGATTGAGGGATTAGTTAATTGGTGGGTTAATTAATTAATTGGTAGATTAATTTGTGGGTTGATTAGTTAATTGGTGGATTGATTAGCTGATCTGTCAAGTCGTGGGTTGACTGGTGGGTTAATTGGTCCATTAGTTTGTTCATTAGTGGATTGATTTGTTAATTCATTGATTAGTTGGAAGTGAGATGCTGGTGGCTGGGCTGTGGCTTCTTCCCAAACGTGGAGCAGACAGGAAAGGAGAAAGGAGGAATCTGAGCGACTCCTGGGGGGGGGGGGCAGCTCGGCTTTTTCGGATGTTTGGCCTTCTGAGCACTCCAGATATCTGGGAGGCCCTGACCTCCACCTCAACCTCCTCTCCCTAGAACAAGTACCAAGCCTTCGCCTTTGACTTGGTGACCAAGCAGGCGTTCGACGTGAGCATCATGGCGCTCATCTGCCTCAACATGGTGACCATGATGGTGGAGACGGACGACCAGAGTGAGGAGAAGACCCAGATCCTGGGCAGGATCAACCAGTTCTTCGTGGCGGTGTTTGCGGCCGAGTGCGTCCTGAAAATGTTTGCTTTGCGGCAGTATTACTTCACCAACGGCTGGAACGTGTTCGACCTCATCGTCGTTCTGCTCTCCATCGGGAGTAAGGAAGAGAGAGAGGCCTGGTGGCCTCACTGGAGGGAGTCTCTGGCTGCTCTACCAACACTAGAGGGCCAGCCAAGTCTCCTTTTCCTATGTGCCGGTAGTGGGGCTCGAACTCAGGGCCCTTGGCATTTTTTTAAACTCAAGGCTGGCGCTCCTCCACTCCAGCCACACTTCCCTTCCAGCTTTGGGCTAGTTCATTGGAGATAAGTTCATTGTCTGCCCAAGCTGGCTTTGAACTGCCGGTCCTCAGATCTCAGCCTCCTCGGTAGCTAGGCAGCAGAGTTAGGTGCCTGACCTAACTCTCTCTCTGTTTTTTTTTGTGCCTGCCCTGAGGCTTGAACGCAATGCCTGGGCATGGTCCCTAAGCTTTTGTGGTTAAGGCTAGTGCCTTACCACTGGAACTACAGCTCCACTTCTGACTTTTGCGGATGCTTAATTGGAAATTAAAGTCTCACTGACTTTCTTGCCCAGGCTGATTTCAAACTGTGACCCTCAGATCTTAGCCTCTTGGGTAGCTAAGAGAATGGGCATGAGCTACTGCTCCTAGTTCTGTGTGTGTGTGTGTGTGTGTGTGTGTTTTTAAAAAGAAGAGCCTATTATTCGCGACCTCCAAAAAGTATCTTAAAAGATTTCTGTAGCCATGAGCCGGTGGCTGATGTCTGTCATCCCAGCTACTCAAGAGGCTGAGATCTGAGGATCACAGTTCGAAGCCAGCTGGGGCAGGAAAGACGATGAGACTCTTCTCTCCAATGAATCACAGAAAACCAGAAGTGGTATCATATATGGCTCCAAATGGAAGAGCGCCAGCCTTGAGCACAGAGAAGCTCAGGGACAGTGCCCAGGCCTTGAGTTCAAGACCCAGGACTGGCAAAATAAATCAATAAGTAAAAATTCCACTGGAACATAGATGTTCTTTATCTTTCTAGCCTTTTTTTGTCATCATTAGGGTGAAAGGCTATGACTGACCCTGAAAAGCCCCTCGCTTGGCCCTGGCCCCCCAATTCAAACACAGCTGGGAATGAAAGAAACCAATTAAAGCCATTATTCAGCCAGCTGGCCATTCAAAGCCATCTTGCTTTAGCTGCCATGTGGCTCCATTTCTAGGCCCCCTCTTATAATTAAGACCCGGCTGTGTATAATTATCTAGGGCGAGGGGGCCAAAGGAATGTGTGCGGGGAACGGTGTCAATCTTCACAGTAGGAAGTGTGGAGATGGGTCATAAGGAAATCCTGGCCTTCCTCAAGCACAGAAGCCAAGATGGAGAAACAGGCATGCCTGTCTTCGGCAAAAACAAGCAAACACAAAGCCAGGGTGGGTGTCCTATTAGGAATAAAGCATTGTGGGTATGTGAAGTAGACTATAATCATTTCCAACCACCCCGGGCAGTAGAACATAAGAGGGGGCTGTTTACCGAGGAACACGGAACTGTTGTAAATGTGAATGGCGGTCACAACGCTGTACCCGTACATGCACACATTGTAGATTGACCAAAATAAGGGTCCAGCATGGGTGGCTCACACCTGTCATCCTAGCCACTCAGGAGGCTGAGCTCTGAGGACACTCTTATCTAAAATTAACGAGCAAAATGCCGCAAGTGGAGGTGTGACTCAAGTGGCAGAGCACCACCCTCGAAGGGGAAAGGTTCACGAACAGCTTCCAGGCCCTGAGTTCAAATCCCAGAACCAGCATGCACCAAAAAAAGCGGGGGGGGGGGGGAAGATCAGCGTAAGGAAACATGATCACAGCCAGGGACTGATGGTTGCCTTGTCTCCTTCTTCCTAGGTCTGCTGTTCTCTGCCATTCTCACCTCCATTGAAAACTACTTCTCCCCCACGCTCTTGCGTGTCATCCGCCTGGCCCGCATCGGCCGCATCCTCCGGCTCATCCGGGCCGCCAAGGGCATCCGCACCCTCCTCTTCGCCCTCATGATGTCCCTCCCCGCCCTCTTCAACATCGGCCTGCTGCTCTTCCTCGTCATGTTCATCTACTCCATCTTCGGCATGGCCTCCTTCCCCAACGTCCGGAGGGAGGCGGGCATCGACGACATGTTTAACTTCCAGACGTTCGCCAACAGCATGTTGTGCCTCTTCCAGATCACCACCTCGGCCGGCTGGGACGGCCTCCTCAGTCCCATCCTCAACACCGGGCCTCCCTACTGCGACCCCAACGTGCCAAACAGCTGTGGCTCCCATGGGGACTGTGGGAGCCCGGCCGTGGGGATCGTCTTCTTCACCACCTACATCATCATCTCCTTCCTCATCGTGGTCAACATGTACATCGCCGTCATCCTGGAGAATTTCAACGTGGCCACGGAGGAGAGCACCGAGCCGCTGGGCGAGGACGACTTCGACATGTTCTACGAGATCTGGGAGAAGTTCGACCCCGAGGCCACGCAGTTCATCGCCTTTTCCGTCCTCTCTGATTTTGCAGACACCCTCTCCGGCCCTCTGCGAATCCCCAAGCCCAATCAGAATATCTTACTCCAGATGAACCTGCCTTTAGTCCCCGGAGATAAGATCCACTGCTTAGACATCCTCTTCGCCTTCACCAAGCACGTGCTGGGCGAGTCCGGGGAGTTGGACTCCCTGAAGGCCACCATGGAGGAGAAGTTCATGGCCACCAACCTCTCGAAAGCGTCCTACGAGCCTATTGCCACCACCCTTCGGTGGAAGCAAGAAGACATCTCGGCCACTGTGATCCAAAAAGCATACCGGAACTACGTACGGCACCGATCCTCCGTCATCTCCCGCACGTCACATGCACCCAAGAACCCAGAGGGGGGCCTGTCGCCCTCGGGTGAACACGATGCTGCCTTCATGACCCAGGGTGCTTGTGAGCTCCCCGACAAATCCGCCACCACATCGGCCACGTCCTTCCCACCGTCCTATGACAGTGTCACCAGAGGCCTGAGTGACAGAGCTGGTGGGAGCACATCCAGCTCAGTACAGAATGAACTGGAAGTGACTTCCCCTCAACCCTAGCCAGGGGCTTCCCGCCTGGATAGAGACATCCGTTCCTTGGTCCAGCGATCCAGAACCCCTGGCCGCCCGCGACCAAAATCCCTCATGGTGACAAGAGTCGGAAGGCTAGATTTTTTTTTTTCATCTCCAATGTGATATCCAGATAACAGATAATAGGCTGGGCCCCTGATGGCTCACACCTGTCATCCTAGCTACTTAGAAGGCTGAGGTCTGAGGTCTGAGGTTCAAAGCCAGCACCAGGAGAAGGGAAGTCCATGAGACTCTGATCTCCCATGAACCACCAAAACGCTGGAAGTGGCGCTGTGACTAAAGGGGATAGAGCTCCAACCTTGAGCAAAAGAAGGTCCAGGACAGTGCCCAGGGCCCTGAGTTCAAGCCCTCAGAATAAATAAGTAAAAGTTAAATGCCTTTATTTATTTAGTTAAATGACTAGAAAACATGTAGGCAAAAAGAAATGAATAAATACAATAAGGTTATGCCCTACTTTTCAGGTTAAAAAAAAATCTCTTCATTGGTTTGGTGACGGTGGAGGGGCGAAGGGACTAGGACCAGAACTTTGACTTCGAACACAAACTTCTCAGGACTGGAAACTTCCAAAAAAAAAGCATGGCAATGACCTTGTGGGAAGGTCAGGCATTGTCTCCTTGGAAAGACACTTCTAGAGGTGGCCATGTTTAGTTAGGATTTTTGCATGACTGCATGTTGAAAAGCTCCTGATTAACTTCTTCAGCTGCAGTGGATGAACACTTGTGGTCTCTGTCATGAAAGCCTTTGAAATCGCCATTAAAATTCATATTTTCAAAGACAGACCAAGACCAGGGCTTGTTATTAAAGTACCATTTTGTTTTCTTGTGTGTATGTGTGTATGCGTGTGCACACACCAGACCTGGAGCTTGAACTCAGGGCTTGGGCGCTGTCCCTGAGCTCTTTATACTCAAGGCTGGCGCTCTACTACTTTGAGCCATAAATATGGCACCACTTCCAGTTTTCTGGTGGTTCATTGGAGATAAGAGTGTCATGGACTTTCCTGCCCTGGTTGGCTTCAGACCTCAATCCTCCAGATTTCAGCCTCCTGAGTAGCTAGGATGACAGGCGTGAGCCACCAGTGTCTGGGTCTTACTTAGCTTTTTCACCTCAAGACTAGTCACCTACAATTTGAGTCATACCTCTACTTCTGGCTTTGATTTTATTTTTGCTGGTTACCTGCAGATAAAGAGTCTTACAAACTTTTCTACCACACTTCTGCCAGAGCTAGCTTTGGCCTTTAATCCCTGGGCAAAAAGAGAAATAAAAACTATTTTTTTAAAAAAAGAAACAAACCAAAGCAGCCAATGATCTACTCAAAAACTGGAAGTGGCCTTCTGGCTCAAAATGGTAGAGTGCCAGCCTTAAGCAAAAAGAGCTCAGGGACACAGCACCTGGGCCCTAAGTTCAAGCCCTCCAACTGACATGGACCAACAAAAAAAATGTAATGCCACTAGAATTTTAAAAAAGCAATGTATAGAGCAAAAACAAATGCTTAAAATGCATAGGAGCTCTCTATTTCTTAAGGACATCACAAGTGACTCAGATCAGTAACAATCTAGTATCTCTAAACAGTAGACTCATTGGACAAATGGTGTATCTTCTTAAAACTGTACTTTTGTACAACAATGAAAGTAAAATAGAGATAACTTCACGAGAAAAGCAGTTCACAAATAGAGTGCTTGTTTAGCATGTATAAGAATTGAATCCCTGGTACTAAAAAAAATAAAAATAAATGCTTTTATATTGAACAAAAGTCTCATATTCAAAGAATTCTTTATGAACTTTTATAAATCAGTACAAAACAGACAACACAATAGAAAATTAGCAGGAGAGTTGAAGAGGCACTTCACAAAAGAAGAAATCTGAATAACTAATAAACATTTTTAAAGGGTGAACAACCTAATTAGTAATCAGGGAAATATGCAAATTAAAGCCACAATGAAATAACCCTCCCACATTGGTCAGGCCTGCATCATTTTACATTTTAACAAACATCAAGTATTTGGCCAAAATGGAAAGTAATAACTCTCAGAGCTCTGAATGGGAGAAACTAAATGCCGATGGCTCACGCCTGTCATCCTAGCAACTCAGGAGGCTGAGATCTAGAGGATTGTGGTTCAAAGCCAGCCCGGGGCAGGAAAGTTCATGAGACTCTTATCTCCAATAAACCACCAGAAAACTGGAAGTGGCGCCATATAGATGGCTCAAGTGGTAAAGCGTCAGCCTTGAGCAAAAAGAGCTCAGGGACAGTGCCCAGGCCCTGAGTTCAAGCCCTGGGACCAGTACATACAACACCAACACCAACAAGAGAGCGTATGACACAGAGATTGGACATAGCAGCATCTTGGTTGCTTCTGTTCTTCCTATAACAAAATACCTGGTGCTCAGAAAGGTAGAGAGCAAAGGGGTTCATATGAGTCATGGAGCCCTATAGCATGGCATAGAAAGATGGTATTGCTTGACAACAGTGTGGAGATGGGGGGGGGGTGAGCCGTGGGGCCAGACAGGAAATGAGAACTCAGAGACAGACAGACAGACAGACCAAGCTTATTTGTGTAATCACATCTCTCCTCTCCCTGAGCCTTTTTCACTCAAGCCTGGGCGCTCTACTCCTTGAGCCACACCTCCGATTCAGCCTTTTGGTGTCTTCATGGACTTTCCTGCCCCAGTAGACTTCCAACCTTGATCCTCCAGAGCTCAGCCCCCTGAGCAGCTAGGATGACAGGTGTGAGCCACGGCACCGGCCTCCTACCACTCCTGCCTGGTAAGCAAAAGAGTCGAGAATAATGGGGGAGAGAGATCACAGTTGTGGCTCACAAAAGCCTCCAGCGTTTCCTTTCTGGCCCTTTCCCGAGAAACTGCAATAGGAATATTTGCCAACCGACAGACTCTTTCCATTCCCTTGAATACATTCCCTTTAATAAATGCATTCCCTTTAATATGTGACAAAAGGTCCCTTGCTGGCGAAAAGGCCAAGTGGGAGCCCTTGAACTCGTTCTTATCAGAAGAGCCATTCAAGAGCCATCTCACTCCCTAGAGAGTGTCACCAACAAAGACCAAAACGTTCAGCCAGGCACCGGTGGCTCCTGCCCGTCATCCCCGCTACTCAGGAGGCTGAGATCTGAGGATCACAGTTCAAAGCCAGCCCAGGCAGGAAAGTTTGTGAGACTCTTATCTCCAAGGAACCAGGAAAAAAAATCTGGAACTGTGGCTCAAGTGGTAGAGCATTAGCCTTGAGTGAAAATGATAAGAGATACCACCCGGGCCTTGAGTTCAAGACCCAGGACTGGCACAAGAAAAGGGAAAAGAAAGAAGGAAGGAAGGAGAAGATGAAGGAGGAGGAGGAGGAGGAAGGAAGGGAAGAGGAGGAGGAGGAGGAAATGGAAGGAAGGGAGGGAGGGATGGAAGAAGGGGGAATGAAGGATAAAAAGGACAGTTTGCTACACAAGAGTCTGTGATAGGGGGGCTGAAATCCAAGCCTGCCCCACATACCCCCCCCACCAAACCACAGGACCCCATCTGAAAGACAACTAAAGCCAAACAGTAATGGAGGCGTGGCTCGAGTGGTAGAGTGCCAGTTTAGCCCTGAGTTCACACCAGGTACCACCAAAAGTAACACCAGAGTTTATTCCTTTACTTAAAAATTAAGAAGCAAAGCCGGGCGCCAGGGGCTCACGCCTGTCATCCCAGCTACTCAGGAGGCTGAGATCTAGAGGATTGCAGTTCGAAGCCAGCCTGGGCAGGAAAGTCCCTGTGAGACTCTCCCATGAACCACCAGAAAACCGGAAGTAGTGCCAAACATATGGCTCAAAGTTGGTAAGAGCACTAGCCCTGAGCAAAAGTAGATCAGGGACAGTGCCCAGGCCCTGAGTTCAAGTCCCACAACCGGCCCCCAAAAAACCCTAGAGAAACCAGTATCTTCTCTCGCTCTTGTACAAGAAGAGTGGTTTTTGTCAGTTCCAGCTGCCATTGTGAGCAGGTGTTTTACACACACACACATTCCTGGTCTGAAATACTGACTTGGGGAGAGGGAGGGAAGGGGAGGAAATGCTCTCTGAATTCTCCGATCCAGACGGGCCCTTTGGCTCATGCATTTTTCTTGGGAGCCTGTAGGGGGTGCTAGAGACAGGTGGAAAAATACCTAAAATTCTGTGTGTGTGTGTGTGTGTGTGTGTGTGTGCTGATACCTGGGATTTGAACTCAGGGTCTGGGCATTGTCCCTAAGCTTTGCTCTTTTTTTTCTCACAGCTGGTGCTCTACCACTCAAGCCAGAGCTCCACTGCTGGCATTTTGCCTGCTCGTTGGAGATAAGAATCCCTGCGGCTTGGGCTGGGAAGGTGGCTGAGTAATAGAGTGCTTGCCTAGCATACTTGAGGCCCTGGGTTCAATTCCTTGGTAGCACATTAAAAAAAATAATTAATTGAAAAAAAAAACTCAGGGGCTGGGCACTGTCTCTGAGCTTCTTTTGCCCAAGGCTGGTGATCTACCACTTGAGCCACAGTGCCACTTCTGGCTTTTTTTGATTGTTAGTCCTGGGGCTTGAACTCTGGGCCTGGGCGCTGTCCCTCAGCATTTCAGCTCAAGGTGAGCGCTCTACCACTTGAGCCACAGGCCACTTCTGGTTTTCTGATGGATCATTGGAGATAAAAGTAGTCTCATAGGTTTTCCTGCCCGAGAGCTGGCTTTGAACCACGATCCTTGGATCTCAGCCTCCTGATTGGCTGGGATGACAGATGATTACAGAGCCGGGGAAGGCAGCCTCCCCAGGGGACAGGGACGGGGGCCCTGAGGTGACGTGCTTGCTCAGCTTTAGATATGGGGGACACTGAGGCACATAGCAGCCTCCCAGCTTAGCGTGCAAATGGCAGGACTCAATTCTTCACAGCTCTGAAGACTCACCGCCAATCTTCCCTCACCTCCCCGGATATTTGTATTTGAAAGAATCTGTTCATGCTAGGAAGGAGAAGAGCAGG